GAAGGTGAACAAAGGTATGACTAGCAATATTACGATTCCCACTGAGGAACTTCGAAGCTATATAGAAGCAACTCGGTCCCGGTTCATAACAAGCTCGTATAACAACGAATGCGCGTTGCTCAATACTACCGTGTGATTGACGTTATATCATGCAGATTGCAGATTCCAATCCATGGCGCCCCATGTAAGAGCCGCTTATCCCAACGGTCAGATTATTGAATGGATTCATTCTCAACCACAAACATTTTGGCCAATACCCCTCACCTGCATAAGATGTGGGGGACTTCCGGGTCCTTGAATAGGCTTGAAAAGATTCTTATAGTGAGAGTCAATAATCTACGTCCTTCTTGGGTGATGAAACATGCACAGACACTGGTACGGCGAATGAAGGAGGCAGTGATTCTCATTGTCGCCAAGCCATTTGTCCAATTGCACTGTTAAATCGTCGTTGGATTTTGCTTGATATGAACGGCCTGGCCAAAGCTTCTATCATAACTCCATCGCTACCACGCCGCAACCAATTGGCCTGTCCTGTGTTATGCATCTCGGTTTTTAGACTTGCCGCGCTGCACTCAGATTTCAAAGCATGACCCACTAGATTTGTCAGAATGGTAAGGCTGTGATAAAGTAAGCTCCTGTTCTGAGAACTACTGCATGCATCGAAGGATTTATTGTCTGCAATTGATCGTCACCACATGGTGGCTAAATGGGCAGGTCCAGAAGAGACCCCAACTCGAAGCTCTGGACGCTGTATCTGTAAATTATAGCGAGAATTCTCCAATGAGATGACCCCACTTTACGATTCGACATGATAGGATCCACTATATTACTGATGTCACCAATAGTGAGAGTAACCGCACCGCGCGCGCCACGAGGATGGGGTGCGTAGTATCATCAAATTGCCGAAATAACCTTGCCCTCCTAGCTGGGGCCCCAGAAGAAAGTAAATAGAGTATAGAGATTCCATGACAAACGTTGTTCATTTCCGAAACATTAGGGTGATTATTTGAGATGGCACTTGATAGCCTGAATCCTATGCAGAATCCCTATCACTCGTGCGAGACTTTGAGTATTGCATCATAAAGGCTTCAGAGTTACGACTTTCTGTAGTAATGATGATGCTAGGGCACTGGTTGCGAGACATATGTGTTATATGGCTGGGAGTTGTTCGTCAATGATGAAGTGGGAAGTGAAGTAATAATGAAAGCATGTAGAATATGATAGGATATGCTAGACTCTATAAGACCAGAATTGACCTACAGAAACGGGAACATCTTCTATGAAGATGAGGTAAAAATAAGTGGCTAGGTGCAATGTCATCTTATAAGGTGAGTAGTAGCTGCTCAAATGTTGCTTGCAAAAGAGTATTTCAAGTCTTGTGGGCATGAGCTGAGGAGGTTAAGGACTTTTTTCGGGGAGAGCTATACATACCAAATTTCTTGTAAAATGGGAGTAAAAAAGGCGTACCAATGAGAAAACATGCAGATACGAAATTGCTATAACAACCAAGTGTGTATCAACATGCACATCTGTGGAAAGACCAGGCTAAGAAATCCTCTTCCTGGGAGCAGAGTAGAAGAGTGTTTATTTCTCGGTCACTTCAGCATATAATGCTTTGCACGGAAGAACCAAATACATCCATCGTGGGCTGTAGATTGTGTATTGATGATATGAGACACTTGCCCAACTCTGCGGGTCAATTGAGTCAACCGAGGGGGTGATAATCTAGTACATTTTGCCACATGCTAGAGACAATTGTCTAAAAAGAGGGAAAGAGGACGGTATTTTGAAAGTAGCGCGATGAACAGTGAGCGAACCGGGAATGAAGAGATCCACAATCAAAAGGAGAGACGGCCGGTTATGGGGTGCATATAGTATTCGCATTGATACATGCCGCCGTCCATAAATCTTCAAGTACATAGTCCGATCCGAGACCACAAAGGGATGCTTCGGCGAATGAATTTAAATCTCTACGTACACTGATAACTCCTATCTAAGTCACTAATAGCGATGATATGACTCATAGGACATTACAGCAGGAATTCACAAACATAGTCAATGACTTGACGATCGACTGGCACACCACAAATATTGTTCTGCGGATATATAGCCCTCAGCCTCCGCATCACTAGAAGCCATTAGGTGAAGGAATCATCCATGATTCATAGCAAATTTGAATGATGAATTCATACCAATTACCATTGGCTAGAAGATAAAAGTTTCATTGGGTATTGACATCTGCTATAAATACATACATAACTCATTAACAATATCCCGACCTTCTCAAGCAAAAAGGCCCCAAAAGATCCCAAAGTCATCACATACAGAGGGTATGGTATAGTGTAACAATAAAGCACCAGCCATATTATCTTAAATACTACTCATATCATCAAGTCAAATAACACATTATAGAGAAGCGAAACCAAGCCAAAGAATAAAAACATAATATCATATCCAGCCATTCAATTCATTATCGACTTCCTGCCTCAAAGCCGCATATCTACTTCCATCCCACCTCTTTTTTTCCCAACCTCTACTCCTCAATTTCTCAATTCTTGCTCGGATGTCCTGTCGTTCCATTTCCGCTCTATCCTCGTGACTAAGACCATCTGGAGAATTGAATAATGAAGGGGCAAAGGAAGGTTGATTACTGCGTCGAGATTTGCGTACGTTTTGTATATTATCGATGAGATTGTTGATATGTGTGATGTGGTAGGTAATTTGTGTTGTTAGTGATGAGAGGTTGAGATTGTAGCTTGTGAGATGCGTGTTGTGAGAGGGGTAGTCCGGGGATGGTGATTGGTATTTGGAAGAAATGATAGGTCGAGAAGGAGTGAATGGAGATGGAATGGCGCGTGGAATAGTTTTCATAATGCTTGAGCCGTTGTCAAGGCTTTGGTCGGATATAAAGGTGGGTAATGCTGGAGAGAAAGAAACTTTCTTTTTTATGCGAAGTGGTGCGGGTCTATTTGGAGTGGTAGTAGTGTTTGTTGATTGCGTAGATTGTATCGATGCGATCGATGATTCGGAAAATGTGCGGCTGTGTCTGAGGGTCTTGTCATCATCACAACTCTCAAAAGAGTAAGACGAGAAAGCAGGTGAAAGTCTATCGATGGTAGAAGGGAATGATGTTGAAGAGAATACGGAATCCACAGAAGAACGAGCACTGGATGTGGATGATGTCGAAGATGACCGATTGCTTGGCGACAAGTCATTATTTTGGATAGGAATATCTGCGTATGTGATGTATTCTTCTGCTTTCTGGAAGTACGACAACGAATCTCGGAGAAGTAGAAGCTTCTCGGGAGAGTTATTGGTAAGATTCGATGCTGTTATTTCTAAACAGGTGGCACAATAAAAGGATAAGAAGAGTGAATGAAGAGGATGAACACGATACTGTAAATTCATGTCAGTATGATGATTACATGGCGCACTAATGACTTGACATACTGGGTCTGTGATGCTATTGAGAACCTTTGTACATTGCGCAGCACACTGTTCGTATTGTCTTGTCAAATATAGCTTCTTGACTTCATCCATGATGACCTTCCAATCAACCAAGGTATAAGGAAATACCAGTCGGCTCCAAATCGATCTTGTCGATGTTGGCCCTTGCTTTTTGGTTGTAGATTTTATTGATGAAGATGTTGATGTTATGGAAGGAGTTGAGGTTGTGGAAGGAGTTGAGGTCGTGGAATTCCCTTCCACTGGCTGTAATTTGAGATGGATCATCTCTCCCATGCTTTTCAGAATTACTTGAGCAGACGTAGCTATGCCGTAGTTGTTACTACGGCAATATGTCTCTCTAATGTCTTGCCTCCGTTTGTAGAGACGATATCGATTTCGGACGGTAAACACTTGGTACCCGTGATGCAAGCTCCCGTATCATAACCCAGAACGCCGGTAGCCACTGGGATATTGCAGATCGGTACGCTCAGTCTCAACCCAGATATTTGGGTGGGCAACGATATGAGTTGATAGAGTATTTAGAAGATTCTAAATTGATGTGGTTTCTATCTTGGGTAATTTATTGATACCTAGGTATTCGGCGTGGTTTGTTTATATCAGAAATATTGGATGAGAATTAATACATTAGACACGAGAAATCAACACAACACAGAACAAAATGGTATCAGTACAAATGAGATGCGAAGGAAGCAAAGAATGAAATAGAACTTTAGATAGCTGGTCTTTAGTCTTATAATATGATATAAGAGGATAGAAGTAAGCAACCTTTGTACCCAAGACCTTGCGGGTAACTATTTTTTTCACCTCACTACCGACTACCTACTTCTCACCATCACTACTCACAGCCTTCACTTGTTCGACCATCAAGTATCATCATACTCTAGTGTAGATCTGAGAGGCTTTCTCCACGTGTGATAAGATGATTTAGAAGAAAGATAGGTTCGTCCAAAAATATTTTAGGAGTGATCCGCCACATTGGACGTCTGTGAGTGAGTGAGGTGTGGTTGAAAATGCGTTTCGAAACCAAACGCACTGATATATTTACAATATATTGTGGACCTTGTGCTTCACCCCTGAATAGCACAGACTCTACTTACGAGAAGTCATCAGACTAGGCTGCGCCATTTTCCTTTATTTTTGATTACAAGGCTGGTCGTAACTTGTAGAAAGGTGCGATCTGATGTACTTTCATCCAATATTTTTTGTTCTAGCCCGATCTCAATCTATTAGCCATTTTATTTACCTATAGACCCTCCGCTCTTGAAATTTCAAACACCGACGTCGTTTCGTAATATATCCGAACAACCATCTAGCATCTCATGTCACTAGGGAACTGCCGTTGAATCCTACGGATCTTGAAAGAACATGGTCATAGATGCTTGAATCATCCCAGTGGATATCAAAGAATGGATATATTAGATGAAATCATGATCTCATGAATAAGTCATTAGTGCATTGTGTCTCACACACCCTATGCTTTTGCGCTGCAAATATGTACATGTAAATTGTTTCAAAGAATTTTGATTTCTTCTTTAAGAAGCAGGAACAGCTCCTATAGCTTCTTGAGATAACGGACTTTCTTCTGCAGGCTTCTCAGTCTCTGAGGCAGGCTCGGCACCCTCTGTTGATGGTGCAGACTCTGTAGGATTCGTTGCCGATGCCTCAGAGGTAGGTGCTTCTGCAGGGATTGCCTCAATCTTAGCTTTATCATCTTTAATGCCTCCAACAACCCTCAGACCATCAGCTTTTCGTGTCATGTTATCGATGTCAGCCTTTCTCTTCAATCGTTGCTTGACTTCAGAGACTAGTGCATCAAGATTGACCATAACACCGTCCTTCTCCGGGTGGCCATCCCTTAGACCATTCTCCTTAATCTTAACTTTGCCTTGAGCAATTTCATCCTCACCTAGGATGACGCTGAAAGGTACACCATTAACTTCGGCAGCCTTAAACTGATTTGGCAATTTTGGTTTGACTTTGTATAAGAACTCCGCCTACGGAACTTGTTAGTACACACAAGGTTCTTCAGAAACTTAGAAGAAGTTTCGACTTACCTTGATACCAGCCTCCCAAAGAGTGGAGCAAATTGACATTCGTTCTTTCAGTAGCCCTGTGAAACCCTTTCCTCCAAATGCCATGACGAAACAGTCTACGTCGTTATTACGCACTTGCTCTGCTGTTTGCTCTTCCTCCATTCTAGCTTTAGTTATAGAGAAAATTCTATCTACACCGAACGAAATACCGACGCAAGGAATTTGCTTTCCTTTTCCAGCAAACATACCAACAAGGTTGTCGTAACGTCCACCAGCTGCGACACTTCCAACACCGACGCTGGGATCTGATGAGCGATCCTCATCAGCATCGGCCACTTTCTTAGGTTTCTTCGAAGATTTTGGCGGGGCAGCAGTGGCAGCAGACGTGCTCACAAGAGGTGCAGACCCTTCTGTAACAACCTCATAAATGATTCCTGTGTAATAATCAAGTCCTCTTGCTAAACTCAAATCGAATGAAACATTCTCTAAACATTTGAATGCCTCGAGATAACCGAACAGGAGATCCATATCTTCCAGGCCAGCCTTCATAGAAGCATTGGCCATCAACTTCTCATCAGCTTGTAATTTGCTGAGGAGGTCTTTCTGGCCCTTCTGTACGACATACTCTCCAATTCTGTCTGCAACATCTTCTGCCAAACCCTTTTCTTCTGTCATCTCCTTGCGCACATCTTCCCATGGCAGTTTATCGAGCTTATCAACTGCTGAGGAGATTGTGCGAATCTTGTCCTCTGGAACTCCACAAACTTCGAAGATTCCGTCTAATATTTTTCTGTGGTTGAGTTTGATGGTATATCGTCCCCTCCAGCCAAGACCCTCAAATACTTCAGTTGCAACCCTGATAATTTCAGCATCAGGCAACATAGGATCATAGACACCCGCGATATCAAAATCGCATTGGTAGAACTCTCTCATACGGCCTTTGGTCATTGCTGGCTGATCTCGTCTGTAGACCTTTGCAATGTGATATCTCTTGATGCTTTGAACGCTTCCATTCATGGCCAACCATCTTGCGAATGGTACTGTCAGATCATATCTGAGTGAGCAGATCTCACCACCTTGGTCAGCCAAGTCGTAGATGAGTTTGCTGTCTTCGCCATATTTTCCTGCGAGAATATCCTTCAACTCGAAAACTGGGGTGTCGATAGTGACTGCTCCATGGCGCTTGAAGGCTTCTGTGATGGTCGAAAAGATTTTGTCCCGAATGACCATATCCTTCCCTTGCCCTATTGAAATAAGTATCATGTCACATGTCGGTGATGATTAGAGATAGGGACGCAATTGTGTATAGCAATGTGACAGAGATATATGGGGTTACCTACAATCCTTCGTCCCCTTGGGAGTCTTTAACTCAAACTTTGGTCCTTTAGCCATGTTTAATTCTTCGTAGTATTGTTTTCTTTCTGCTTTCGAGAGAGCGGGGGTTGCTGGGGCCCAAGCCGAACGTGAATTGGGAATTCTTAAAAGTTGTGGAAGTTGTGGAAGTCGTGAAAGTCGTGACGATCTCGCAGATCTAAGTAATTGAGTTTGAAAGACCTTCATTCACTTTCTCATATCTATATGGAGTTTTAATAAGGTTGAGAGGGTCAATTTCTTTGATTCTGAGTCATCTGGGGTGCCTCGAATTTTTTGTTTTATGCACAATGGCGAGGCTGAGTACGGTAACTGTAGTGGCACAGAATTCGCTTGCAGTTTGTTGGTGCGGGGAGTTGCGTTGCCTCATTCGATCGGTGAAATGTGGTAAAAAGTTCCGATGAAGCTTGGAACTAATAAATGATGGAACCTTGGAAGCTTCAAGTGCTGTCTGTACGTACGGGAACCTTAGGAAACCGATACAGCTACAGCTTGCTTATCCTGCACTTTCCTTCCCTCGTCATTTACATCAAATACGTGATCATTCAGCCCGCATGTAGAGCTAATCATGGCTCCTCATGCTGGGTTTGATACAGATCAGATTAAAGATAAAGCGAGGAAGGATTTATTATACTTATTAGAGGGTGTAAGGCCTCACCGTCTCCCACGCTGCTCGAGGTTGCAGCTGACATGTTAATCCTCGCAGGTTCGCGGAAAGAAGAATCTCGTACTTGAACAGAGTTTGGCTGGTCCACTTGGCGTAATTGTCAAGTTCTCGACTCTTCAAGATTACGGTGTCGATAAGGTCTTCTTTTTGGAGAATGGCAATGCAGATGTTAGCCAGCAGAATGTCGTGTTCATTGCTAGGGGAGAGAGTGCGAAGCATGCTCAATCAATAGCTGGTAAGTACTTGGTCATTCCGGTCACTCTTCATTCTTGTCTTGTACCTTTGATGGGATCTCAAAAGTAGACCTTATAGCTGTATTTCTCCAACTCTATTCGGTCAGTCTTGATCCCTATATGAATAATTCTCATATACTTGAACAACACGATCATAAGCATATCCCCGATTTCAATCTGTGTTTGATGCTATCAGAACGTGCTGACAGTCTCAGATCATATCAAGCGCATGCAGCGAGAGAGCCAGACAGGACATGAATTTTCCATATTTTGGGTCCCACGAAGAACACTAGTATCAGAAAAGATTCTTGAAGAAGCTGGCGTACTGGGTGATACCAGTATTGCCGAGTTTCCTCTCTATTTTCTTCCGCTGGAAAAGGACCTCTTGTCATTAGAATTGGACGAATCATTCGAAGATTTATATCTACGAAAAGACCCAACGCCGACATTTCTCCTCGCACGTGCTTTGATGCTCATACAACAAAAACATGGCCTATTCCCTAGAATGACTGGGCAGGGTGATAATGCGAAAAGACTTGCCGATCTCCTTTTACGAATGCGACAAGAATTGATCGCGGGCGAAGATTCCAATGAAAGCAATAAACTTGGACTCTCCCCAAGTAACACGGTCGAAAGCCTCATTATTATCGATCGCGAAATTGATTACGCGACCCCTTTACTGACGCAATTAACATACGAGGGGTTGATTGACGAAGCGGTAGGTATTCAACATAATCAAGCAGATGTGGATTCATCTATTGTGGGGTCCGCTCCTCAAGCCCCCCAAGGGTCCTCGAAAACAGTCGGAGCAGCACCTGTACAAGCCAAAAAGCGGAAAATAATACTGGACTCGTCCGATAAACTTTACTCTCAACTGAGAGATACCAATTTTGCCATTGTTGGACCGCTCCTTAACAAGGTCGCACGACGCCTGAAAGATGATTATGAAAGTAGACATGGAACAAAAAGCACTGCAGAATTGAGAGACTTTGTGAACAAGCTTCCAGGTTACCAAGCCGAGCAGCAAAGCTTGAAAATACACACTGGTTTAGCAGAAGAGATAATGAAACATACTCGTACAGAACAATTCAGCAAATTGCTGGAAGTTCAACAAAATCTGGTCGCCGGTGCCGATCCTTCTTCGCAGCACGACGCCATCGAAGAGCTCATTGCTCGAGATGCCCCCCTCCCTGAAGTATTAAGACTTTTGTGCCTGGAATCATGCATCTCTGGTGGTATCAAACCTCGCGAATTGGATACCTTCAAGAAAATGATCCTACAAGCGTATGGGTACCAGCACATGCTCACCTTGGATGCTCTGGAGAAATTGCAATTACTACTCTCAAGGACATCTCCAATGGCATCAATGATTCCTATGACCGGAGCTGGTGCTCAAGCTGGTGCCAATACCAATTATACTTATCTGCGAAAACAACTTCGCCTAATTGTTGATGAAGTTAACGAGCACGATCCAAATGATATCGCTTACGTCTACAGTGGTTACGCGCCACTTTCGATACGCCTTGTTCAATGCATATTACAAAAACAATATATCACTTCGATGACCAGAGGAGGAAATGCGAACAATACTGCGAGTGTGGCTACTGGTGGCTCTTCTCAAGGCTGGCGAGGATTTGATGAACCATTGAAGCATGTGCGAGGCCAGACCTTCGATGAAGTACAAAAAGGGGAAGATAAAGCTGTCAAAGCGAGAGCCCTTCTCACGGGCAATGGTGAGAAGAAGACTGTTTTTGTTGTATTCCTAGGGGGAATAACATTTACAGAGATTGCAGCTCTGAGATTTATCGCGAAGCAAGAAGAAGGTATGCACGCCGTTATCATTCTCTAAACACTTCAACATCATTTACTAAGAGTCATACAGCACGGAAGCAAATCATTATATGCACAACCTCGATCATAAATGGGAATCGAATGATGGATGTAGCTATAGAGAAGGACTCGTTGGGCAGGAGTAGTGTGCCGGACGTAACATTATGATGAACAATGAGAAATATCATGAACAAAAGATAAAAAGGGGCAGAAGTCCCAACTTACTTCAATAATAGTAATCTTAAATCAAAATATTTGCCAACAATGAAACTACGTGCAACATATCCTCTTGACCTTCCTCTTCTAGTGGTCTGGAATGCAATGCTACAATAAGATCGGAGTTCTTGCAATTTTAGGGTTCCTTGTCAACTTCGTTCTAAACTAAATAAACACCACACGTGATCGCTATCCGCATCTTTTGCCCGCCCGAGATCCCATAAGACATGATATATCGATATCGTACGACACAACGATCAACAAATCTCCTCGAGTCCTATAAAAACTTTCATAACTTTCGCCTGCGACTACTGATGACATTGGGAGAATTACACATATGAGACTCGGTGCGGTGTACGACATACATCGCAATATGTTGAATGATAGAGGTGAGGCCAATCCACGTGTAAGACGTATATCTCTATATATTAGTTATATGAAGGTTCTAACACCACCAGAACAGATATTTGAGAGTACATCATATCGAATTGGACAATAATAAAGGGTTATTTCGGCTCGTGGCTTGAGGCTGTTCATGGGCAATTCGTCGTCTCGCAACTCTGAGCCTCCGAACATACTTTTATATCAAAGCATTCCAAGGAAGAAGTCACCGGGTTTAGATCTCCCAGCATGGCAACCACGATGGATGCCCAGATAAGTCAACAAGATGACTTAGGTCACGATACATTGATGGGATTTCAAGAATTAGATTCCCATCTTGCTATATTCGAGTCTACGGAGAACCGAAGAGATTCATCTACCCCGGGTACTATATCTACTCCTGGCTTCGATGCAACAATCGACACCATTGAAACGCAACCTGCTTTTGAGACCTTTGAGCATACCATTATCGTTGATACCTCGACTGATCATTTCCAATCTGATATCAAATCCCGTGCAAGGGTCATTAAAGATCCTAAACCTAGTACTAACGGCGATAAGAAGTATGTATTGATGAATCATTCTCCTCTTGTCTTTTAAAGTTCTCGATTGAGCTGTCAATGTTAATTGGCTTTTATTAGTAGAGCTGCACGCCAATTAAAACACGCGTCGGATGGCAACATACACCTACAGCCCGAAAGCGCTCGAGACTCTTTAGCCTCTTCAATGACTACAGATCATGATGATGGTTCCTCTTCACTGTCCTCATTGTCAAGCCATCCTAATTCTCCAACAGTCGATAAAAATCCCGGGGTGGTTACAAAGGCGTCATCCTTGAGTGGAAATAGACCGACATATAATGTACGTCCGAAAGAATCGATACCTACGGATGTTCATCCAGCAGAATATGCCAGACAATGTATCGCTGCAGCAGAATCGTCACGACTCAGCCCATACACTCTACATTCAGAGGAGTATCATATGTTACGTGGGCATATAAGCCATCAACAGGTCACGACGTATCTCAATATCAGAAATGGAATACTCCGGCTCTGGACACGTAATCCCTCGATACATGTAATGAGAGATGAAGCTATTGGTTGTGCAAGAGACGCCCGTTGGTTTGAAACTGCTCGGGTTTGTCACGAATGGTTAGCTAGGCGTGGTTACATCAACTATGGTTGTCTCGAGAACCCAGAGTCCAAGATAGATAAAGGCGAGATGCAAAGAACTGGACCTAGGCGCACCATCGCTGTCATTGGAGCTGGTATGTCTGGCTTAGGTTGCGCTAGGCAATTAGAAAGCCTCTTTGCCCAATTCGAACATCGTTTTCATGAAATGGGCGAGGCATTACCTCGTGTAGTCATAGTTGAAGGCAGAGACCGAGTTGGTGGAAGAGTTTACTCCCGTCAATTTGAATCACGACCAGAATATCCAACTCTGTTTCCTGGTAGTCGATACACTGCAGAAATGGGCGGCATGATTATTACTGGGTTTGACCGTGGCAATCCTTTGAATATCATAGTAAGAGGACAACTGGCGCTACCTTATCATCCATTGAAGCCGGATACCACGATATATGATGATGGCCACCCAGTTGACCTCCAACGCGATCAACAAGCCGAGAAGCTTTTCAACTACATTCTTGATCGTGTTGGCGAGTATAAATTTAAGATCCCACTACCGCCTCTTATTGATGGTGATAGAGACCATTTAGAAGCAGGACGCGATGGTAATGGGGATGGGTCGAGAACAATCAGTGAGGCTGAGAACAGAGCCAGTATTGCTCCGCAGTCTGCTGCAAGTGAAAAATCATTTGCTGCAGAAGAAATGGTGCCTGTGGCATCGGATAGGCTCACTGGCAGAGCTCATTTGGAGCCAGGAATTCCAGCTGTGCATACTGCTGCTTACAAAGCCCGCGAGATTGGATGGCAGCTTAGGGATGGCATTGGCATTGAATCTGACCTCGACCTTGAACGCTCGACGAGTAAGGAGAATGCTACACTTGGGTCTGTATTCGATGACGCGATTCGACAATATATGAGAATGATTGATTTCACACCCCTCGATCTCAGACTTATCAATTGGCATGTTGCAAATCTTGAATATAGTAATGCGATTACTTGCAATAAGTTAAGTCTCGGGGGTTGGGATCTAGATGCTGGTAATGAATGGGAAGGCAAGCATACAATGGTCACAGGGGCTACCAGCAAGTCCCCCGAGGTCTATTGAATTTTCCCCGGTTACTGGACGTGAAGAAAAAGAGTGCAGTAAAACGCATTTGTTATAATCCTCATGGTACTATTTCCTCAAGTAGGATTGACTGTGAAAATGGCGAGTCAATCGAGGCGAATTATATCGTTTCCACTATCCCACTGGGTGTTTTGAAGCAGAACAAGATCGAATTCGAACCAAAATTACCTTCATGGAAAACTGGAGCAATTCAGCGAATTGGATATGGAATCCTCAATAAAGTCATACTGGTCTTCAAAGAGTCTTTCTGGGATCAAAGCCGGGATATCTTTGGGACCCTTCGTAATCCCCCCAACAAGTCCAGTTTGGAACAAGGAGAATACTTCACACACAGAGGAAGATTTTTTCAGTGGTTCAATTGCACCAATACTTCCGGGGTGCCAACTCTGTTAGCTCTCATGGCTGGCGATGCAGCATTTTACACGGAGAAGACCTCAAATGAAGAATTGGTAACTGAGGCTACAACCGTTCTACGAGGAGTTTTCGGTGATCACATTCCTTTGCCTGTAGAGTCAATTGTTACACGTTGGGGTCAAGACCAATTCTCTCGCGGCAGTTACTCTTACACAGGGCCAAATTTTCAAAGTGATGATTATGGGGTTATGGCAAAGCCTGTTGGCAATCTCTTCTTTGGTGGAGAGCACACTTGTGGTACACATCCAGCCACTGTTCATGGAGCTTACATCTCGGGTCTCAGGGCAGCCTCCGAGGTATTAGAGTCTATCATTGGACCAATAGAAATACCAGAACGTCTTGTTCCACCCAAAGAGTCAGCGTCAAAGAGAAAGGCCGAGGCCATTGAAGTGCCCAAGGATCCAAAGCAAGCTCGTCTCGAGGCGTATGAAATCGAAATATGGAATGCGATATATGCCAAGCTTGGTGATCGACCTTGGAAGCCTTCAAAGAACCACTCTAATTCCTATCAAATGTACAGTAAGGATACGTGGGAGGAAGCCAAAAGGAAATGCGAGGAAGGACGACGACCAGGGAAAGGTAAACCGATCACCAATGAAGTTAAGAAAATGATCACAAAAATGTGGAATGAAGCTCCAGAGGATGTAAAGAAACCTTATATTGACAAAGCTCTCGAACGAAAGCAAATTTATCAAGAAGCTGTTACGGAATATAATATAAAGTCGGCAAAATGGGATAAAGATGCTTGGGATTTTCGATTACAATACGAAAAGGATCACCCAAGCTTACCGGGTCCAGACGAAGATATTGGTAGCCCTTGGAGACGGGATAGAAGAGCTAAGAGAACGAGTGGTTATGCTGAAGATTCTGAATCGGAACTGGATTTGTAAAATGGATTCCTGGGTTTGCATTGCATTCGCATTGTACGATAAGTATGGGACATGATTCATTACAATGGAGTTATTACATTGGTTCGGGACACTTTCAAAGGGGTGGTGGTTAAACTCTGGCGTATGGGTGAAACTCTAATGGAGGGAACTTGGTCCAAACAGGAGGACGGTGAATGGATGGGTTGCATATAGCTGGTTTTTCTTGCTTGGTCTTTTTGACTCAATGTTGTATGTACGCCTGGAATAGCATATACATAATTTTTCAATGCAGTAAAAAATGTTGCCTCCAAATATCCTGACCTACCTTTTTTTGATGAATATACCTAAAGTTTCCTCAAAATCTGCGAACATCAAATAGTCATTATCGTTAATCAGACCCTTGCTTTCGCTAAAACGTACCTCTAACGTCAACCCCTCCATCTTCAACATTGACAACGCAAGCTCCATACTTCATACAACCACCTTCAAAATGGCAGAAGTCGATCAATTTGATAGCGCGCTGTAAGTCATTCAACCCTTTCTCTAAGCCCAAGATTCTAAATCTGCGAATGAAAACTCATTTACGGAACGTACTAACTGATCAACCTCTACAGGGATCTCCTCCGCCGTCTCAACCCAAAACATACCACCGCCCATTTAAACTCTCTTATTGACCTCGTTCCCTCTTTAACAGAAGATCTCTTAAGCTCTGTCGATCAACCTCTTACTATTTCCCGCTGTCGAAAAACTGGTCGCGATTACCTTCTCTGCGATTATAACCGTGATGGCGATAGCTATCGTTCCCCATGGAGTGGTGAATTCGAGACACCTGTAGGTGGTACAACACCGGGTGGTATTGATGATCAGGGAAACAATGATGGAGCTGGAGAAGGTGCTGTTCCTAGTGAACGGGTCAGAAAAATGGAGATTAGAGCAAATGAGGCTTTTGATGTTTACAGGGAGTTATATTATGAGGGTGGTGTTAGTAGTGTTTATTTCTGGAACTTGGATGATGGATTTGCGGGCGTGGTTCTATTGAAGAAAGGTGAGAATGATTTCTTTTGATACTTTTTGTGCGGTCATATTTGGTATATTGAGAGGTGGTCATTTATTGTGGAAGCTAATTCGACATTTATAGTTGCACCTTCATCATCCAACTCCGCCGGTTCCTGGGACAGCATTCACGTATTCGAAGCTGTTGACCGTGCTCGTACTGCCCATTACAAGCTCACATCTACTGTAATTCTTTCTCTCTCTACCAATGGTAATGAGCTCGGTGAAATGGATCTCAGCGGAAACATGACACGACAAATTGAAGCGGATTTACCAATTCAGGATGATGCGGAACATATAGCTAATATTGGAAGACTTGTTGAGGATATGGAGTTGAAGATGAGAAATTTGTTACAAGAGGTTTATTTTGGGAAGGCGAAGGATGTGGTTGGGGATTTGAGAAGTTTGGGAAGCTTGAGTGAGGGGGCTAAAGAAAGAAAGGTTAGGGGTGAAATGTTGGATGCTATGAAGAGGTAGATAGATAGATGAAGGATATAGAGAGCGTTTTGGAATGGGGCAAGCTTAGATGAATGGAGTGGGATATGTGTTATGTTTGCATGAGATATGAAAATACAGGAGCATTTGATTCTTTGCTATTGAAAGCTGTATAATTGAGTTCCGTTCAATCACTTATCCTGTGTACTATTCTATCTACCAGCTGCTGGTTATAATATATGAGCTCTCACAAACGAATTCATCTGGGAGATCTATGAACAAAATAAATCATGTCAGAATGGATTTTCAAATATATCTTCGAGTGATCGAGCTGACATGAAACATTGATGTATGTAACTATCTAACCTGAATGTGAACATTTAAAGTATTTGATTGTTACGTTCGAATTGGAACATTGTCCATAAGCTTTGTTTGGCGTGCATAATCCCGTGAAGGGTTAACACCCAACACACCCCGTTACATTGATATCAAAAATTCTCTCTTCGATTTCCCAATTTCTTGTATACATGGTACACATGCTTTTGAAAATCTATCTCAGAATCTAAATCACTCTTTCGCCTTCTCTCACTATTTCCTTTACATCGCTAAGGGAAGGGGGTGAGCTGCTAACTTCCTCTACCCAAATCCCCCTCTATACAACGCGAATTTAACATACAAAGTCATACATTAGAATACAGTTTTACAATCTAATCTAACACAATTTCTTACAGCATAAAAGTGCCTCATTTACGAAAAAACTTCGGCACGATAATTTTCTTGCAGGTGATAAAACAGTATCATTCTCATCCACTCCGACAGCTCAACCTCGCATCTCCACTTACACTGAATGCCACTTTACCTGTTTTATCTGGGTCTTTCTGTTTTCATTTTATTGGATACAATATATATAAAAAACCGAAAGGCCTACCAATCAAATACGATAGGGCTTCTGGCGCAATGGCAACGCGTTTGACTTCGACTTCTGTTAGAAATAACAGTTCTCTCCATCAAAAGATTGCAGGTTCGATCCCTGCGGGGCTCATTCATTCCTTTTGCAAGTTTGAAGCTCTAGAACTTCGTTTTACAGTTGAGATTTGAGGAAGCTGTGGGAGTTTGAAGTTTTGGGTGGTGGGTGGAACGGGATTGCGGGTTTAAAGTGGAGTTGTGGAATGAATGGATTAGACTTGCGAATGGAATGCTTTTGGTATGGAATAGTAATGATTGGAAAGGGAAGGGAAGGAAATCATCGTTTGCACTTCTGCCTTTCTAGCGAAGGAAGGTTGAAAGGGGGTATGCTATTCATATATCCTGGGTGTCAAACATTTCAAGCTTGGAGATTTTAGGAAGGATTCAGTGAAGATTCGAAAATGAATTGATGGAATTAGACGTAGCAGTGGTATTTACCATGTGGGGAGAAAGGAAGTATGTTATTGATTAGCTGTCTTTTGGGATTCTCGTTTTGGTAGAAGGGGATGAGAATATTGCTCTAGTTGCAAGGCAGACTTTTTGAATAGAATTATCGGAAGGATTTGGGGGAGAGATATCGTGAGTCTATCAAACAGAACCGGTCTTAGAGGTTCAACTCCCGGTTTTGTAGGTAGGAAAAGTATGGATACCTTCTACATGTTTATTAACAGGATCAAGGAGACCTTTAGACCCATCACTTAGATTCTCTCTAAAGTCGTAGTTTATTTTAGAGCAGTATGTAGTGAATGTGCGAAATTGGTTCAATGAGAGAATTGATGTCGTGAAGGTACTCTGTACATCGGTTAAATTGCATTCGAGTCTGATCCGGTTATCTCCATGAGTACGGAAAATCCAATACACTTAACTAGAATAATACTTTGAGGATATTATATTTTGATACCTGCATTGAGTTGATTTGTGCCAAAAATGAATAATCCTTAGATTTTGAATTCGCAATATTGATTGTCTCATCTGATTTCGAATATTGGAAAGAGTGCATGTTTTCAACGTCCTAATTTTTCGTCCTGTCGGAGGTTGTATCATCTACTGGTGAACATGTCATTCTTGAGCATGAACCGTGAATAATCGTCGAAAAATAAATACTGTATAAATGTTTATTCGTATTCACTACCTTAGTAGCTGACGCCCCTCGGAACCATATGATTTACAACACACCAATCAAGTTGGTACATTCAGAGACGAAATCTAGAGTCGACACTGAATCATACAAGAGGAGGGGTAAGGTCTCCAGTATGGAAGTTAGTCTAGCCTTGAAGTCATAGGTCAACATCAATCACACTGAAACCAAATACTTTTAACCTTCGAGCTTCAAGTCGTGTCATGATACAAAATATTCACAAGCACTTAAGCATCTACTTTTTCAATCCCCAGACTCAAAGAGATATACACAAGACTTTTCAAATAACTAGATCACATCATATCACATCAAATGTAAACAAATATCTCCATACATACACGCATCTCTGAGCAAAATGTCCCTCCCACCCTCCTACTCATCTCTCTACCCTCCTCCCTCGCCTTCCCTACCCCCTCCTCCCTACCAACGCATAGCCCACGCGTCCGAACAAGCTTTATATCCGTATGCTTGTTGTCCGTATGGATATACTACTGCCACTGGTGTATATGAATATAGGCATCCGGGCTCTTATTATATACCGATACACACTGCACAGGTCTCACGGGCTCACATGATGAACCCGCAGAGATATGATTCAAGATATTGTGCACGACAGGAAGTTCAAGCTCAAGCACAAGCACCAACTCAATGCCGATTCCAGCCCCAAGCAAGATATTACCCCTCTCATTATTTTTCATCGGGAGCCTCATGTCCGGATGAGAATACTCGTTTTCCAAATTTATATCCATATGCTGGATTTGGGTTTGCATGCACGTATCCTTATCCATTGTATTCAAATATGGGATATACGTATAATATGTATCTGCTTGGGAATGCAGGGCCGTGGTATTGGGGAGGATGAGTTTGAGGAGACTGGCTATTTGTGTTTGTGGGATACACGTAATAGAGATATCGTAGTGTTGAAGAACTGGAGAAAATCACAGCGAGGAGACTACATGTCTCTGAGTTGATAGGATGGTTATGCCGAAGTAGCTGGGAGAGAGGGCATGAGTCTGCTGTCTGGCTTTACCTCAAGGTTTAGAGTGAGACGGAAGTGACGGAATGTTAACATATTGGATTAGGCAATGCTTTGACGTTACAGCGAACAAACTTGTTCTTTGGAGTCAAGCACAATGATACTGAGGTCCGGAATCTTCATCTGCAGAGTGCCAATGTCATTTTCAATCTATACTATTAAAGAAATAGCTCGCGAAAGAATTTCAATCGATTATTCTTCCCCTATCTTCATGCAAAGGACAAATGTGAAAGCAATCAAAATCAAAAGATGCCAATGATACCCTATGAGACCCGGGGGTCTCATCAAACATTCACACCACTTGTGATCAAGGTATCCGTTCTTCCGGACTGGCAGACTGGATGGAAGTTTTCAATATCTAAACGCAATTCAACATTCGAGATGAAATCAACACTTCAAGGTATTCGAATATTCCAATTGGATTCCGAATCCTAAAGCATTTCATTGCCGGACTGCAATCCGAACTATTGGGAAACCCTGCTTGTGCTACGATTTAGAATTCCAAATGTCACCACGGCCCCCAAAAACGACATCAAACCTCGTGTTGCAAATTTGTTCATGCATGAGTCTCAAATATAATCTCATCAGAAATGAGGTGTTGGTGTTTGTATTCCAAAGAAGAAAATCATCCCAGTTCATGCCCTCATTTACCGTGCATATCTCCTGCATTCAAAACATTCTTTCGGAAATTCTCGAATCCTTCTAGAAAAGTCGGTACTTAGGCGCCACGACTTTAATATGCATGTAACGCCGAACAAAAGTAGTTGCGCCCAAAAATATTATTGTAAAAAGAAATTCGCATTTGATTTGATGGAACCGTGATATGCAGGTGGTCGGAATAATCAAACACAACGAGAGATGAGTTGACGAACCCCTTTGCAATTTCCGTTTCAGATGTTTCTATGCAGGAGATGGAAGGTTGAGGAAGGTGGCAGGTGGTTTAAATGAACTGGAGATGACTTGCATACTACTTGTATGTATGCAGGTGAATGAGTTTCGAGAACTTTTCTCTTCTCGATTGTTCCTGCATGAGCCCGGCCACCGGGTGGAATTATATCCAATGAACATCATAACAATATCTGAACCTCTTGCCTTATGAATCTTGCCAAGTTATAGAGGCTCGATGCGGTGCTTGAATAACAAAAAGGTTATTGTCGGCGCTTGAGGTGTTTTTTTCTGTTCGCTTTGCCAAGTACCCCGGAGTTGCGTTCGGCACTGCGGATATGAACTCTATTGTATTGCCCACATTGAATCTTGGATCTGAATAAGAACAGTACTATAGAAACTGCCCCTCTCGATCTATCGAATCTCACAATTAGGACCTCGTTGCCTGTGCGTGCGTGATGGGTGGCCATGTTGTATGGGGGAATGAGGCCTGTGCTAATTAGATTGTGTACGGATTTGGCTTTCGCCATGATGTTTGCCGCGGAGTACGCCCCCCTCGGCCCCCCTATCTGTACTCGGAACCCTGGCCACTGCTGACCTACTAGGCACAGGAGATTAAAGCGAAAACCCTTCTACCCATACTGTAGGCTTTTCATCGGAAGTGGTGGGTAGGAATAAGAGCCTAGAAGATACAAGGATAGATCATAGGAAAACTGTCAAAGTACCGAAGTTGGTTCGACATGATGAAATCTTGTTATTGCTGTTTTTATCTTTTACTCGGCAACCCAATGTAACCATAACTGTATCGAGACTGTCGAAGAGAGATTGGTACGTTCGCCCTCGATCTTCTTTCCTCTCCATGCATCACTCTCCAAGCATCTTGCCATCGTGTTTTACCATTTTACTTCAAAAGTGGCAATAAACAAAGTGATGATATTTTCGGAAGACAACTGTTCCAAATGAGATCCACCCATCTAATCAGTCAGGTGGTTGAAATCAAATCAATGGAGTGATTTTTGGGTGCAGTAAAGAGTATAGAGTAGGGGTCGGTCAAGCAGGGTCTTAATAGTTTGGCAGACTAAAAGTGGTAACATCCGCAGGAAGCGGCAACTAAAAATTGAAATTGACAGGCACCAGAACGAGAACAAGGGCTGTAAAGGGTAAAACAGTTGAACTACTCTGAAATCCGTATAGTGTGCTCACTAACAAGGAAGATTAGACAGAAATTTCGGGATTCCATTAACCTACATGATCTCTAATAGGAAATCCTGTACTCTTCTAATCGTCTAAATCTTCTAGAAGAACCTGCAATGGAACTCTGGAGGCATGTCGGGCTGAGATCCTAGAACGTTGTCCAGTGCAGTCTACTTGCATGTATGAACTAAGTGTTAAGTGTCAAGTAGAGTAGAGTAGAGTATAGTATCAAAGATTCCAAGATTCAGGAGCCTCAAACTACCTGGCCGAACCAGAAACATATGATATGCAATGCGTAGTGCGTTGTGAATGAAGAAACCCTGAAGAATCAAGATATAACAATCAAAATGAGTTCAGTCCTTCTGATTCTTCTCTAACCATCCTCGAGCCATCTTCCGAGAACTCTTTTGCCTGATATATAGTATATATACGGGGATACAAATGAGGATCATCAAGTTGTAGCCAATTAATATTGGAAGAAATCCACCTTTAAGCTTTTGATAATTTTGACATGCTCCACAAATAAGGAAGATCATAGAGGTGTGTTCCTGTACTCGTATCTAACTCCATCTCCATCTTGTAACATGCAAGCAAGTAAACGTTCGGTTATTCGCCATCTCTTCCATCTCTGATCCATTCCATCCCATCATTCAAAAAAATTCATCATTTCATCACATCACATCGAGTAGCTCCTGCAGAAGAAGACCTTGGAGACCCAGGGTGTATTAGATTGCCCAAGTAAAATCCCAATTGCGGGACTACCCATCCTTTAGCCATCGCATCGAGACACACACATACATCCTTACATCCTGACTTCGATATACGTTTTCATGAACTTCCGAGATCAAGGCTTCTTGCATCACATAGTAAGTCCACACTACCCACATAGTATGATAGTACTACCACATTGGTTTTACCTTATATTCTACTACAGATGCAAATCGATCAATATATGCCACTTGATCATTGACAAGAAGAGATAAACTCCCTTTCCCCCCCCTTCCCCAGCCCCAAAAGAACGCTCTTAAACTTGCCAGATCCGTGGTAATCTGTTCTGCATCTCAATATGTCGTGTATATCTTCAGATCTCAATACTTCATTCATCTATTTTCTGCAAATTCCTTTTCTTGTGGCGTACATGTTGTCTTAGATTATATTGCTAGGTAGTATGTACGGTTTTACACTACTCATGAATTCCTCCTTCCTGATTCGTAGATTTTCACTTGGTTTCTGCTCTGCCGCTCTGCCCGCATACATATCCATTTCGTAGCTGACGATCCTTCAGAAAATGAGATAGAAATACTCCGGCTTCGTGTATTGTGGTTCACAATCCAAAGTGCCCTAAAATTTTATTACCTTATTCCTTTATTCACTACTGTATTATTGATCTAAGGTATGCATGGGTGATATCAAGGTATCTAGACAGCTATCTAGGAAGAGACGGAGAAGCAAAAGGGAGGATATGGAAGAAATGAGAGTGAGGAGAGAAGTTGAGAAAGTAGAGCAACCCCCTATCATAGACATATTGTAATTAGATACCCGTGTATTTCTTCACCAAAAAGGCCAAAAAAAGGGTCCAAGGGACCTCAGATGTTAACCTCACAACTAGATAGGTATGCTACTCCGCGTACTATTAACGAGGACCTACTTCTGTTAAATATACTTGTCCCTAACTTATAAAGAAAAAGGAATGCTACTCTACTATGTACATAGGTAGTAGTATATAATTCTCATCCCCAGTTTTTTGCATACAAATTTATTACTCCATAGTACATAGTATATGTATATACTCCGTACACAAAACGAGGACCACCTAGACCACACACCTTCAAACGAGACAAGGGAAAGATTCCCTCCACCCCCCCTCGCCGCACACATACAGATTAGATTAACCTTACCCAAAGCCCTACCGCATACCGACTTTCTAATAATTTATATTTCTTAAAATCTTCTTGGAATGCTCCATCTACAAAACAGACTTTGATATTTCTTTAATTTAAGAACACGGGAAATCCATCCTCTTGGTGTCCATCATTCTATCACATCTCCATATTAAATACTTCTGAAGGATAACCACAGACCACAAGAAGACCATAATACCTCGTTCTTCAATAATATCTTCAAACCTTCATCCACAAATCCACACCTCATCCTTTCTGCGCAACAAACCTTTTTGCATTGTCCCAAGATCCTCCCCCGAAAAACGTCAAAAGTCAAACACCAACACCAGGCGAGATACACACAAACATGGCGGAGAAGCCAGCGGTTCTCATCATCGGAGGTCTCGGGTACATAGGACGATTCCTCGCATTACACATTCATAAAAACAATCTAGCATCTGAAGTTCGGATTGTGGATAAAGTGCTACCGCAACTAGCATGGCTGGCACCAGAGTTCGCGGATGCTTGTTCGAATGATAAATTCATGCAAGCGGATGCCAGTAAAGAGCGTATGTTCATACATCTTTAATCCTTTTACCTTGTCTCTCCATTGGTCTAACATTTTACGTCCTCTCTAGAATCGCTGCCGAGAATCTTCGATCGCGCGGATGGGAAACAATGGGATTACGTCTTCAACTGTGGAGGAGAGACAAGATATTCACAAGAAGATGAAGTCTACAAGGTTCGCTCGTTGGCGCTGAGTATTGCGGTTGGAAAAGAAGCTGCGAAGAGGGGTGTCAAAGCTTTCGTAGAACTGAGTACAGGAATGGTATATAAATCAGATTCGACACCAAGTAAAGAAGGGGACAAATTGAAGCCTTGGAGTAAGATTGCGACTTTTAAACTACAGGCTGAAGAGGCACTGGCTAAGATTGAGGGGTAAGTTTGGATTTCTTATCTGCGACTTTGCGTGGCTGAAAGGGATACATGAGGGGTGCTCAGAGAGGCCTTACATTCCCCTTGCTTCCTTTCATAACTAACCGACCATCTTCATTTAGATTAAACCTCATTATTATTCGTTTGGCACACGTATACGGCGACTATGCTTCACAATTCGTTTCTACTGCCCTCACAATGGCACGCATCTACCAGCATCTTGACGAAGAAATGAAGTTTCTGTGGACGAAGGATTTGCGCGTGAATACAGTAAATATAAATGATACTTGCAGAGCGCTTTGGGCGGTCGCAGAATGGTATGCCGTCTCTGAGAAGCCAAACTGGGACGTCAAATCTATGGGCAACATTCCTACTTTTAATGTTGTGGACAAGGGGGAAACATCTCAAAAAACCATTGCCGAACTTATTGGTCAGATCTTTGGCATCAAAACTGGGTTCCAAGGACAACTCGTTAGCACCTTCGCAAAGATGAATTTGGATAGTGTTGTGGATGATATCAACGAAGAGGTCCTTGGTCCCTGGGCGGATCTTCTCGAGGAAGCGGGTATCACACGACCAGGCCCTCTTACACCATTCATGGAGAAGGAATTGTTGAAGGATACCGATTTGAGCATGGATGGGAGCAGAATCGAGAAGGTAGTCGGGTTCAAGTATGAACACCCAAAAATTACAAAGGAATTGTTGCAGGGTATGATCGATAGTTATATCCGAATAGGCTGGTGGCCTGTTGCAAAATAGACACTCTACCTTCTCCTTCTCCTCGCCCTCATTTTTTCTCATCTTTTCATCCTTCCCGTTTCATTTTTCACAGAAAAATAAGACAGGAGAAAGAAAAAAGGGTTAGACATATCATGCCCACATCATTGTCAAATACGAACCCTATCCCGAAACCCCTCTGCTACTTATACAGCACTCCTCTATCACCCAAATCCTTGAAACGAAGTAACGATAAACGAGCAACGGACGCATGCGAAAACATACCCACGAAAAGTCAAAGTTAACAGATTGCTTCATACCCATTGTTCTATGTATTCCTGCTCTCTTGTTTCCTGCGCCCGCCTGCCTTGTTGTCTCCCTTTGCCTTCATTTGATGGCGAGTGGAAAAAGATTATTCGACATTGATACCATCTTTGCATTTTCCTTGCGTTGTTTTTCTTCTTAGCTTTACCTTTTTTCGTTTCACTTTTCATTTATCTCAATTCATTTACTTGATGTTTTCAAATCTATTCAATTCTAGAAAGTAGGACAGAGGAGAAAGATCACCTGTATCTGTACGTACTTATTATTCATTCATGTATATGCATACCAAAATATTTTACAGGCAGCTCTTTTAGCACAGAATCTTGTGCATTCGACTATCAAAAACCTTCTTAGCGAGTATGAAGGAGGTATCCTATCTACTCTTTGCATGGACTTCTTGTTTGTTTTTTCCCGGCCTACTTATTTTTCTTCCTTCGCTTCTCTTCTGATACTCGTCTCTTCGCATGTCCGAACATATCATACATAGTATATCACAATCCATTCACTCATGTTTTCCGATTTGATTCGCGCTGATGTAATGCAGGAAGTCCAAAGGAAGTGAATGCGTAAATCCATTCACTAATTTTTTACACATTTCCTTCTTGACTGGTTTTCTATCTACATCCTGTCTGCTATCTTTATCTTATCTGCATCTCTATGTCTCTCTCGTCTCGCAACGCCGGGCCAAAGTATCAGATACCGTAGCCCCGATAATGTCCACGAGCGCAAAAGCATCCAAAGATGGGCGATGGGAATGAAAGGAGAATATAAGGGGATTGTGTATTAATTAGAAGTATAGAGTTGATACTAACAGACGAAAAAGCAAATCGGATGGACATATTGTGGAGAAGATCAAGAGGATTGGATGGGAAGAGACGAGGAGAGGAAAGACAAGGAGAGATATGCATGACGTACCTCCTACCTACATACATACTCTTCAAGTACTAGAAAATATCACAAGAGAGAAAAATACACGAAATTAGAAAAACATCCAAATTGCCAATGTGATGTTGGCTGTCTCCTTGGCACATGACTTCCTTTCTCTATTTGTGGTATCAGTCAGCCATGCAAAGGTTTACTTATCCTTTCTCCTCCCCCTTCTAATTCCTCGCTCCTTGAACTTGCGCTTGAATTCACATTCTGCACTCCTATCCTTTCAGTTTAATACCTATGCGTCTTCAAGCTATCGGATATCTACAACTTCATTTCAGTACACCTATACATATAGTATCAAATTAAATCATTTAAATTCCGCCCTGAGATCAGGGTACTCAACCATAAGTCACTACCAATCCAATCTAACACAGTCAGATTCTCATTCAAATTCTCATTCATTCATTCATTTATTCATTCTGTTAAAAACGCCGCTTGTATCATGCCATTTCTTCATCTTCCATCTCCATCTCCATCTCCATCTTCTCAATCCAAATCCAAATCCAAATCCAAATTTAAAATTACGCACCCCATCAAACAACCTAAAAATAGGAAAGATGGTATTAACGATACGCATATCACCCTTAAAACCCCTCACAATATACCTAGAACTCTTTCCGCTACCCAAAAACTCAAATTTGAATCGCAAAGCCATCGCTAAAATCATGTCATATATCATTTCTCCGCCTTCCTTCTCTCTCCTCATCATAAGGACTAATTTCTCTATTATCCCTTCCTCTCTCATCTTCACCGATACTCTCTGATGAACTATGCTCTCCCCTCGCAATCTCGGCATCCTTAATTCTAAAGCCCTCGATAATTTCCGCCAACCTTGCACCTTCTTCCTTGCCCCTTTCTACATTAACAAAATAGATCAATGGAGCTGGTAATCCAACTAGAACCGCCAAAAACCAAAAGGCTGGTCTAATTTCGCCCGTGCCATCGACAATTGCTCCAACAATTGCGGGGCCAAAGACACTAGATCCTTTGTCTGTAATAGCGTAAAGAGCATAAAATGCTGCTTCGGATCCCGGGGGGATGAGTTCACCAAATAGGGAGCGACAATAACTACTCAAGCCACCGAGGACGAAACCGTAAATGAACCCAAGAGGATACATTTCCCAAGGTTGTTGGAGACCGATGACGTTCCATCGTTTGACAATGGGGAGAAACCCCAAGAGACCGTACAAGGGGATCAATTCGAATATGCATATACATGCGAGAATCGTTTGATGGGGTTTCAGTTTGAGAGCGCGGGAAATAGCTGCCCATGAGAATGCACCTAGGACGCCTGCTGTAGTCGCGATGACATTAATGAGACCAAGTGCTTCGGGTGCCATGCGAAGCTGGGTTTTAGCATAGAGAACTGCTGTTCCCGAAACAGTTGCAATGGCATCGGAGAGGAGGAACCACGCTGCCAAGAAAAGGGTTATATCTTTCAATCTTCGGGCGAGTTTTACGGTGCGGAAGAGAGATGACCAAGCGTAGATAGTATAAGCCCACCAACTTCTTGAGCCCTTTGAATTCCGATTACCTGTGGGTGGTAATGGTGGTCCTGGTCTAGGTCGAAGCCATAACGCGGCAGGAATTGTAAACAGGAACCACCATAATCCTATGAAAAATAATACGAGTCGTAGGGAGAAGGTTGTACCTTTGAGCAACCATATAATGATAATGGATACGCATTGGAGAAAGAGACCGGCACTATAGCCGATTCCTATACCAGTCGAAGAAATTTGGGTAGACAATTGAAGCTCAATCGAAGTGGAATCTGTAGATGGCGGTAAAGGATCCGTTGCGTCAGGGGCTTCCGAAGGGGCCCTATTGTGTGATAGGAGTGCACTTCTTTCATCGTATACCTCAACCTCTGGCTCACTCAGGGAGTGTTCTGGAGGATATTCATCGACAAAACTAGGATGCAACTCTGGTGAAAAATCCGGCGTGCCATATTGAGTTTTCGGATGATGTCGAACAAGTAGGGGGAGAAATGAATTTAACAGCACAAAACTTGCCCCAAAGCAGGTATTTGAGATAATTGCCCAGAGAGCCCCTAACAAGTAAACTTTTGGGACAACTGTTAGAAACAACATTGTCGTTATAGATCCGGCGAATGCAAACAATAACAGCAGTCGTTTGCGATAATTCCCATGATCTGCAGCACAGCTAATCGAAACTACCAATATCGCTTGGAAGAGAACGCTGAGAGAGAAGCTATACATAGCAAAACTAGCAGTATTTATCTGTATTCCGCCAAGATAAATCACGCATTGTGAATCTTTTGCATTTCCTGGATGTAAACCTGGTGGTAGATGTGTAGAGCTCGAACCGCATGGTTGTGTTGGATCTGAAAGTAGAACTCCATTCTCTCTTGCCAATTGCTCCAAAGTAATCGGGATGAAGGATCCTGAAATATATCCGTTAGCCTCAGAAAATACGTTTCCTAACAAGCTTAAAACCTAAACTTTTGTAATAAAATTCAAATATTTAAAGGTACAATGCCGCCATTGATAAGTTCATAAGGCAAGGCTGACAATGCTACCCCCTTAACCTCGATGGATAGGTCTCATCGAATTGCAAACAACTTGACCATTTTGCTTCAATAACCCAGATACAAGATCAAAGAAAAATAGCTCAGACGTACCAATACCACAAATGACGAAAACCTCCGCAGCAAATCCGTAGGCGTACCATCCCGACAACTCTTTCCGACTCGTCAATCGTGTATCCTCACCCGCATACTGGGCAGGAACATCTCTATGTGCAGAACCAATATCGGGGCCCATACTATCGTGATCAGCAGAACTCGATCTCTCGTCATCTGCTTCAAAAGATGAAGAATAAGATCTGTAGGATATTTTTGTACTATTTGAAGGAGCGCGTTCTGGTTCGGGGCGAAGCTGGGGTTCGCTGATGCGAGGGACCATTGCGCGCTGGATAAGGTAATTTGGGGGACCAGTTAATAGCGATAGGCGTTTAGAACATCATGCTAACCGGACTAATATCTGAAATGTTTGAGATGATTTTGAACATCTTCCTTTGTTTAAAGGAATGCTAGGTAGGTACTGTTCTGTAAATGATGAAATAAATAAAAGTTAGCAAATAATGTAAAGTATGAACACGAGAGAGAAAAAAGAATGAAAAGAACAGAATAAAGATTTTTATTCCAAGAATCCTCTTACCTACATACACACATACATATGATGCATTAATGAAAATGGAGGTGAAGGTAAAATAAAGGAAAAGGTTAGCTATTCATAATAAGATACCCGTACCGTACATCTCTCGAGACCAGCACAAGTGACGAGATAGACGCTTTAACCTGGGTGGAAATAAAACAGGGGCGTTCGGCATTTGAGCAAAGCACCACTTTTCAACATCGTGTGAATCAAGTGAGCTCAGATGAATGGAGCGGCGAAGGAGAGGAGGGGAGGGGAGGGCAAAGAAAGGAAAGAGAGGTCTAACGTTGTGAGTGTGAGTGAAAGAGGGAGAGGAAGAAGGGAAGAGGGAGAGGAAGAGGAAGAAGGGAAGAGGATCGAAGGATAGAAGGAAAATAAAGAGTATGAGAATATAAGAGTATAAGAATCAATCTGAAGACCTCTTGGATACCTACCTACCAAATTGAATCCACCACCTACCTACGTAGGCATCTTAAAGATTGCCATTATTGTTGTTGTTATTCTTATCATTCTTATTTATTATGGATAGTTATTGTCAGTTGTGACATGCAAACAAGAAGGGTAAAGAAGGTTCGAGACAACGAATAATTCTTGGATTTATATATATTTATATGGAGTAAGTAACAGCAAAACCGAAGAGAGGCAGCACGTACTTAATCACTACCTACTTCGTACTGAGTAGTAGATTCACACCCACTGCACCGGTCTTACCATTATTTACCTTCCAAGCGTTTCTTTCTTATCGTTTATCTCTTCTCGGTCTCTCTTCCCTTCCCTCCCCTTCCCTCCCCTCCCTCCCCTCCCTCCCTTAAGCTTTCCTTTCTTCCCTTCGCTCCTTCTCTGCCAATCATATCTCTTCTCTTCCTTCTCACCCACATCACCGGTAATCTACCGATCAGAACAGTACCTAATCGATGATCACATGACATGGATATCGGCTTTCCAGTTTGATTCACGAGTGCCTGATTAGGTCTAGTCTATACCGTCCGTAATTCCAGGCAAGCCAGCCGGATTGTTTGATTGTTTCTTTGATTTCATACAGTAGATTGAAGGGGACGATTGATTTTGAAAAAATTAAAGACTTCTTATTCAACCACAAATCATCTCCCTCAAAATCCTTCTTCAAAATCAGTCGCATATCAAAATATCACCCATTCGACTCTTCCAAATTATTAAGATTCCAACAAAACTCGAGTCGTACCCATAAAAGAGACCCAGCCATCCTTTCATGCAAGGTCGCGCTGTGCGTTTCCAACCCTACAAAGAGCTATTGATAATTGTCACCACATCTAAGATATTGAATTCGAGCTTCGACGGCTAGGAAAAGCTCGTAAGGCTTATTGCGCACATGTCCCTAGATTCTCCGAGGTAGCGCATGCGACTTTGCTCCTACGGCCCCTCTCCAAAGTCCCGAATATTCAAATCCTGTGTCGACAGCCAAGATAGAGTCGATAAATCATATAAAGGTCGACGAGGGGGCTGCTGTGGGCGTACCGCAAGGAGGAGGAGGTCTGGTAGGTGAGCAAGGGCGAGATAATATGCCCGGCGTCATCATGGATAGTGCGAGTAGGAATGGGTCGCATACCAACCACGACAGAGATCGACAGTTCAATGGTTCCAATGGTGAAGCAAAGGCTTCCGAGAAGGGACGAGATAAAATTCAGGCACGATCCGAGCCTCAACAGAGTATGACACCGATCAGTCCAGCGGTTCGGAATGGGATAAATGGCAATTCCACGGATGGCCCAGCGCACCAACAGAACTCCGGAGAGGAACCGATTCCAAAGGATATTCTCGATCGTATACACGACCTTCCACCTGAAGTCGAACATATCACATCGAACTTCTTGCCTCTGACAGAACTGCTGAATCGATTAGCACAATCTACGCATAACGACTTAAGGCAGGAGATCATGAAGTTGGCGAATATGCCAATCCCCCAGTCAGCGATCAATACGAGCTCGCCCCATATCACCAAAGAGGATGATACCTCCAATGATAATGTGAACAAGAAGGTAAGCTTGCTAAACTTTGCCCAAACTCAACATAGTCGTTGGGTCAAGCAACTGGTTCTACTAAATTGGAGTCGAAACGCCGAAGAAGTGAGCAAAATCATCGACTTGAACATCCATTTATGCCAGAAACGAGGATTATACCAGTATATCCTACACCATATGAGTGAAGTCAAAAGGAAGCTATGCGACGTAGATTCACCTAGGCCCGATTTAAAAACTGCAGTAGAGGTTTTGTCAACTGGGAAAGCCAATTGGATGCCAGACGTAAGTCCCCTTCTCAGGTTTTGGGATTATTCCTAACATTTACTAGCTTGGATACATTGCGCCGCCTCCAATGACTCCCAAAGAGATACTTAAATCTCTGGAAAAACTCAACACTTTACTATCCATCCGTTTGAATCTACACGAGTACGATAAAATCCCCTTACAATTTAAGAACTATACGATAAAGTCTGGTCGCGTGACTTTCAAAGTAGCCGGAGAGTTTGAAATCGACCTGACTGTCGCAGATGAGAACCAGGAGTTGCAGTTCTGGTTTATTGACTTTCGGTTTTTATTTTCCCCCTCTCTTAGCGAATTGCCACCCCGGCACCAATATCACATAGAGAGTAAAGTCAATGCCGCACTAGAAAAAGATGGCCTGTCTGGCTGTTATAGTTATCTGCACGAAATGGTATTAACCCATAAGATCAGCGAATTCAGGAGACAAGCAGTTGAGCTTTCTAGAAGTACTTGGGTTGATGGGGTTAAGGTCGAGCCGCTTCATCGCGCCTTATGCATCCAATATTGGTTGGATAGATACAAGAAAAATGGACCACGAAGCTGGATTATTTTGGGAGTTCACAGTGGACGGAGGAAGGATGGGTACCATGACCCGAAAACGACAAGCCGACTCTCTATAAGATGGTTTCGAGATTCAAAAGAAGTCAAAGATGTGGACATTCCATTCGACACGGTTAACATCTCGGCTGAACAACTCTTGAAGACTGTTATTGCAATGCACGTCAATCACATCTTGGGTTCAACACACAGCAAATTGGCCGCCGAACCTATCTTTGCGAATCGCGAGGCATCCTTGTCACTACACACATCTAAGACTGAGCCAAAGGAGTCTGTACTCGGTGTACAATTGACGGAGAAACAGCATGTATCAATCACTATAGAACCGGTCACGGGAATTTTCATCTTCAGTCCAGCCTCTCGAATAATCACTTCGTCACAGAATAAGCTCAACAGCCTGGATCGCGATCCTGCAATGGACGCGCATTTTAACATCGAGAATCTTCGATGTTTAGCCATTTCGGAAGAGCTCACGATCCTTGGCACTAGTGTTGGATGGAGAAGGGCTGAAAATCCCGGGATATCCAGAGAAGACCTGAAACGCAAAATTCCGAAAGACACAAAGCAAATCACTTGGTTTAGGAGACCTGCATGGCAAGAGGATTGGCTTGTTGCTGTTACGCTGGGTATGAGTGGAGAAAGTTGGTGGTTGTTTCAAATGTATGTATCTTCAAGGGCCTATAATTTTCATACTAATAAGGATAGATCGAAACAATCGACGGGCGTTAAAGTCTTAACCTCTATTCACATACCCATCAAAGCTGTCTCGCCAACGCCCTCTTACGTATTTATGTCTACGCTACACATTTTTGCAGGAGGTCTCATCTCGCAATACACTAATCTCAAAGCTCTGCATGATAGGCGCATTCGTCATACTGTCCGACAGTCTGGTCTACCTTCACCCGTTAAACTTCCTTCAATTTGGATACACATTCCTGGACTATTCCAAGCCAGGGCGAAACCAACAGCGCATAAAACGTGGGCTACAGATTTTCTCAAGCTTAATTTTCAGGGGCTGGAGCCACTTTCAAATGTTCCATCTCTTCCATCTCAGTCACCGATTGATGATTCGCAAGCTATCGTCTCTAAGCCTGAGCAGAAGACAGTACTAGTCACGGTTGTACGTATGGCAGTACCTATTCCAGCTCTTGCGGTCTTGAACGAAAAGATAGATAAAGATATTGCCTTTCAACCTAAAACGGGAGAGATTGCTTTTAGATTGCGGTCTCAAGTTGGCGAGTCGATAATTCCCGCCCTAACAGAGCGGTTATTCCAGATTGAACGTCTTATATCTTGTACTGCTGTGCTTCGTAAACATGAAAATGTTATTAAATGCGACAGGATTTCACTACAAGAAATTGCCTTTTCGTATGGGATGCCACCAGTAGCTCAGACAGAATTGGTCACTAGCGCAGACAAGACAACGCCTCTTTCATATAAAGCAGTGGTCAGCTTAGGCTTAGTTGAAGGCAAAATGAAACTTGCGTTGGAGATGGGTAACCCACACATACGTGTTTTGGATTCTTTGGACAAAGTTTTGAATATTGCGAAGAGTGGGTTTGATGCCGTTGCAACTCTTCTTCCACAAACTCTATATTCTTTGCGGGCTTTTGAAACGATAGAAAATGCTTGGGGCCCTCTTCACGATAAAGGTGAAGTATTCGTATTCGTCAGGGCTTTTGAGTGGTTTAGACTACGTTATGTTTTCAAGCCAAGCACTCCCAATATGCCTCCACGAACAGTCTCATTTGAGATCAAAATGTGTCATCGCAAGCAAAAACCATGGTGGCTTGTCCGTCGTACGGAAAAGACTGATAAGGGCGTAAGAGGGGACGCAGTTCCGGATGATGAAATTGATCTCCGTTTGAAGTCAGTGTGGGACTCCCGAGGAGATGATGACTGGAAGGGCATGCGTACCAGCGCAGTTGGCCGTAATCGTGGCATTGAAACCTGTCTCGAAAAGATTGATGCAGTGATGCGAGACCTCTCTCCAGAAGACCTTGCAGTTCAACCATCGCAACAATCACAAACGAATACACAAGTACAAGCTGTAGGACCACAAGGACAACAGCCTTCGCACCCCCAGCAACAAAGACAATTGCAATTGCCTACGCCAGCAAACTCTCAGAATCATCCACAAAGTCAAGGAAGTAGCCAAGGACAACAACGGATGCCAACTCCTAATATGAACATGAATTTGAATATGAATCAGAACATGTTGAAGAGAAAATCTTCCGGTCAAGCCATGAACCCTAGGGCGGTCAAGAGAGAAGTGGTAGAAATCGATTAGTAAATTTTGCTTAGGACAAATGAGATGGGGCAATGATATAAATGGTTTTCAAGCATGCATGCATAGGCGCACGAACTCGAATGAGAGATAATTACGTTATGGGAAGATACGAATATGCCTTTTTTATATTTCTTTTTCATCTTGTTACAATACAACATTACATGAGGGGTGGTGGCAGGCTGGAGGCGACATTCACTTTGCAAGGCGTTGGACCTCCCCTCTTTCCTTTTATAATTTGGGGGCGGAGACGGAGAAGAAGCGGAGATGTTGGAGCGCGGAGGCCAACGCAAGCTGTAAAAAGAAAACTTTATTGATGAAGCTGGGTGACATGGCGTTTAGTCGGGGGTCCGACTTTTTTTTTTTTTTGCTTTTCCGAGGATCTTTCCAGATTTTCTCACAGAGCGGGATGGCGGTGCATTGGATGGGGATTAGTGGTTTTAATGCGAGCCTTTTGCTCTTTTTCGTTGGTTCATGCACTTGTCTTTACTATAGGGGCGGAGGCGAAGAGAGTGGACGAAGAAGCGGGTTCGGGATGGAAAACAAAATGGGAGAGAGCGGTTTGTGTGTACAGGATGGGGATATAAAATGGGGAGATGGAGAAAGAAACATGATAAATACGATAGGTGAATGGATGGAAATGATAGGGGAAGGGAGACTTAAGCGATGTTCTTTGGGAGAATATGGGAGGGGGGAGGGGGATAGGACAGATATGGGTGAGAAATAGATGATGCATTCATGCTTGTATGTATGTATGTATGCAAGACTTCGCTAGCAGTAGTAGGTTGTCAGATAACGTTTATAATAACGTTGGTTTGATATTATTATCTTGTAATGGCTTGATGTTGGCGTATATTGTGAACGCAAAAAGATCGGTGGTAGATATGCATACTGGCTAAAATATCTATCCGCCCTCCGAAAACTCGAGAGGAGACGAAAATAGTTGATTTAGATCAACATCTTTTGATTGTTTGATTATTACAGCTGTTTGTGGGGAGCGAATATCTCCAATCTGGTGAGGAAAGATGTTCATTGTGTGAAAATGTCTAATGATATTCAAAAAGCCATCGTAATCTTATAGAGCTGGGGTGATTACAAGATAGGTGTAAAGTTGTATATACCTAGATTTACGAGGATAAAAGATCTGGGATATTGGTAGCTAGACGTACATTAATATGTACATATTAACACTACCTACCTCACATTCTCACCATGATTTCTCTGAGATTTCTCTGAGATTTCGATGTCGATTTCGATAATATATTTGTTCGTGGCTCAATACAAAATACAGAATACAAAGATTCATCTTCGCTGTAATGGATAAGTAAATAAGTACCTACCTACCTACCTACCTACCTAGATACACAACACCCCTTCCTTCCGTTCTCAGAAACAAATGACCACCATACATCCATGCATAATCCATCGGCTATTGAAAACAAAATTGTATCATAATGGAACTACTCACATAGCTACCTGCCTACCTAGCTACATAAACTTTCTACATGTGTGTGTGTTGTACTTCGTATAATAATCTAGGAACCAAAGTATCGGGTCTGTATATCGCAGACTATTTGTTTACGAATGAATTACTGCTTGCTGTTTTGGCGGTATGAATGGATATTGGATATTGGATTGGATGGGTGGAAGTGGGAATTTTGAGGTGGGTGCATGTGTGGTGGTGGGTGCTAGGTGGGAATAGGAAGGAGAGCCGATGGGTGTGGTATTGGGTGGTTGGTTTGGAGGGCTGGGGAGGGGGGTGGATGGGTAAATGGATGGGTGGATGAATGAGTGGAAGTTGGGAAGGGGGTGGGTTTTTTGGTACCGAGGATGCTAATGTATGAATGAATGAATGAGTGAGTGAGCGAGGGTGAGTGAATAATGATTGAATCGAGCTGCTTTGTTGGGTGTTTTTTATGCTTGTTCCTTGGGGTGTGTTTTGTGCCAAGCAATTGTGGTTTCTTGAAGAGATTTTGGTTGTGCAATGTAGTGGTGCGAGGAGGATTGTGGATAAGTACTTCGAGTCATACTCCGTATGTACTCGTATGATTTATTGGACAAAATCGGTGAGAAGATGGAATACAGGAAGGAGTAGAATATCCGAGGAACTAGGGGGTTGTTAATGGGGAAGCGGGCAGTGTCCGACTTTAGTACTTGTTGATGGTCGGATTATTTTCCAGACGGAAGAATAGTAATGGCGGAATGATGAAATGTTTTCGAACTTTGACTTGACGTTGCTGATCTTAGGTGTATGGAGTTAGATAGATATGTATGATAAATGTGATGGTCGATTTGATATGCAGCGGTAGGGAACCGTTTGATAGTTGATAGTCGCTGCATAACACTTTTCTAGAAATCTTCTAGCGAGTTTCCCGAGTTTCTATTGAAGGAACTTTTTGCCGAGCGGACAAAGATGATCGTCTATTCCATACTTTGAATGTGCAATATAAAAAGTAGGTAGTCAAAGAATGCGACAAGTAAGAAAATCAAATTGTACTGTATCAAAATTAGCTAGAGAAGGTCGTCCAAAAGTTGGATTATCGTCGTTTCTATCTCATCCTGATTCTTGATCATATGCCACTGTAAATATCCGGGCCGTGGAGAATTAGATGGGGTAAAGGCGATTGGATATTGTTTTTGTCGAGCTCCGTTCTTGCATGGGAGGCTTCGTCATTGCGGATACTTGCTTGCTAGGAATAATTCAATGTTCCATTGAACAAGTACGCAAGTGTAGTTTGGAGAATTGTGAATACCTTCTGAATCGCATCGCTAATTCTCACCATGATTCGAAACTTCAACATACCCAAATATATAAAAATAAACCCCATCTAAATGAAACCCCGGCTTCCAAACCATTGAGTAACATCGGTTTTTTCCCGAGTGCACACACATCTTCTCATACATAAAACTTTCTTGGTGCAAGTCTACGCTCAAGATCCAACCAATAAGAAAGTTTTGACTCCAGTTTTTCCCTCCAAGTTTTTCACTGGCTCGAGTGGCTAGTCATCGACCCCACAGTCTGATCCCAAATGGAACCACAAGAACCTCGAAATAACGTGGTGGGAGGGGATGTGAGCGGGTGCATGACCCTGATCCTTGACTCTTCGCGAGGTATGGTTTGGAGGGAAGTTATGGACGGAGTATACACTGTAGATGTGGTGCGGAGTGTACTCCATTGAGAGCGAGTCGATGAGTGTTAAACGAGGAAAGATAGGGATGTGGAATTTGTTGGATGGCTTGCCTGCGGGAGATAGATATTTGGGCTATTGGGGGAAAAAGAGAAAAGAAGCTTTGAGAAGTAGGCCAAGTAGGTCAGTGTAAGTACTGTAGGTGCTAGGTACCTTTATGCGAGCATGCGAAGGCGTATCGTATCGGTTTGGATCCTGCAGAAGTAAGAGATGCAGAAGGAATATAATTGATTGGGTGTTGAAGGGATTAGATGCATATCCGTAATACTCTCTGGTGGGACGAATCCGTAGAGGGATGCTCATTGTAGACAGTGGCTTTTGACTTGCATCGGGGAGTGTTGCGAAGTTGCAGCTTCCTTCGACCTTCTTTCTCACTTCTTTCTCACTTCTTCCTCGTCAAAGGAAGCTTGGCTTGTGGTACAGCTTAGAGGTAGGCAAATTGACACCTCAGCATACTCTCCTTTTAATTTAAATGTGCAGGTACAATGGCATGGAAAAGAAACGGTCAATTGGAAGAAATTGGAAGGGTTAGAAAGTATTAAGAAAGATATCGAATTCATTGTAATGGCAATCTAAATTGCTCATCAAGAGATATGTGTACCAAATACTCGGTAGAAGCGTCTACTCAACCACCATGTAAATAGTATCTTCCTAGTAGTCTTCACCGACGTATCAAGGCAATAGTCGAGAAGAGATTCTATAGATCAACACTTATTATAACGACCAGTAAGCGTCGACAACTTTAGGTTGGAGTTTGGGGTTTTACGATGCTAGTGGGTAAGTAGTTTTAGCTGATGTATTGATATTTACAGATATATGAACAATTACCTACTACCTAGGTAATCAATCTGATAATACCCAATACATCTCCTCTTTTATTAGCCTCTCCTTTCATTTCCTATTACAATAGAATCATTAGCACGGTAAATTTGTAATTCACTTGGATGATGGCTCGGGTGAGTAGAATCGAAGCCAAAGAAGCTTAGGTCATTCAATGGTCTCTCTCTCTCGCGCGCGCCCTCCCTCCCCATCCTTCAAGCATCGAAGCATCCAAGTCCAAGCCATGACCAAGGCTCGATCAAACCAGACCTAGGAACTTCTTCATACTCCGTCCATACATACATCCATCCTACAGGTACGCCTTTCTCTTTACCCCATTCAACTTAGGTATTGCATTATCTCCACTAGATTTATTTGTTCATTCTCTCTTCGGATTCAGATTCAGGTTCAGGTTCAGAAGATCTACAGTACACACATCTCAATTCACATATATTCCTTTCTATCCTTTGATCTTGGGATCTCTTGATCACATTCACACATAATATCAATTATTGGTAAATTGTTCCAATCAATTACCACAAATCTGACCTCCTGAAGAGACAAGGCTTCCACCCCACGTTTTACGCCTCTTATGTGCAGCATTGGTGCAAATACTCACTAGAATCAGCGAACCATCTCACCACTCTCCTTTTTACGCTTGCTTTGCTTTCTGCAGATGAAGATCAATTCTGCTACAAATTATTCGAATTCGAATAAACCATTTGCGCATGAGTACAACTCAAAACAACCACTTAATACTTTTGGGGTTCTCTGTCGCGCCGCGCGAACCGTGAACGGTAAAGGACAAGGTCGAGAATCACCGACGAGGTCGGAATACTAGAAATATGACGTCTATAATTCGAATGCTTTCGCCTGCTGTTAGTCAATTCTTTCCTTTCGTCTTGATGGTGTGGCGGAATGATGCGGGTCTGATATCATTACGGAGGAGTTCCGGCGCAGTCAGGGCCGAGGAGTTTCTGAATGGTATCATTTACTGACAATTGGCTTCTTGTATAGACGGACAGAAATGGAAATACAGGTCGAAAAGGTCAAGATGTAGAGCCGGAACCTGAAATTACTCCACTGGTGAAGATGTTACAGAATGCAGGTCCCATACGGCCGGACGGAAGTGATAAATTCTTTGGTTTAGAAAATGTATGCTCTTCCTCATATCTATTCCCAATTGCTTTATACTAACTCTTTGAAATTAGTTCGGAAACACATGGTTCGTTTTTTAAAATTGATCCTATCTCAATAATACTAACACATCTCAGTTATGCCAATTCGATTTTACAGGCGCTATACTATTCAGTTCCGTTTAGAGAAAATGTTGTTAAATACCCACCGCATTCCCCTTCTGATACTCCCAATGGACATTTACCAAAATTGATTGTTCCAACGAGAGCTCCGCCACCAAACGGAGTGCCATTGTCGACGGCCAAACCGAAAGGCATATCGGCTGCTGAAGCCCTCAAAAGAAGACAAGTTGTGAACTCCGGCCAACCTGGACCTGGCGCACCGGGTACTCGACCAGAAGATAAGCCAGATTCGCCTGAATACAAGAAGAAGCATGCGATGATGGCAGGCCCGATATTAGAAATTACCACGGAACATGCGAGTTCATATGGCATGGAGGAAACGACTTTTACAGCCTTGAAGGACATATTTACGGCCATGATATCACATCCTTCTCGGACAGGTGTTGTAAGCCCCCAAAGGTTCTTGGAAGTTTTCAGAAGAGACAATGAGATGTTTCGGACATCAATGCACCAAGACGCTCACGAATTTTATGGATTGATGCTTAATGCAGTTATCAATAACGTCGAAGACAATGCTCGACGCCTGAAGGACTCGGTAGCGCTTCAAGAAAAGGGAGGACTTAATGATTCAATGACAGCTGCTGTACGATCAGTTGCGGATTCCATGGGTTTGGCAAGTGGAGCGCAATCTCCAGGAACGAAATGGGTTCATGACATATTTGAAGGAAAGATGGTCTCGGAAACGAAGTGCTTGACATGCGAAACTACATCACAGCGCGATGAGACATTCCTGGACCTTTCAATTGATTTGGAGAAGAACTCTTCTGTTACATCTTGTTTGCAAAAGTTTTCGGCGGAGGAAATGCTGTGCGAGAAGAATAAATTCCATTGCGATACCTGCGGTGGTTTACAGGAAGCGGAAAAACGTATGAAGATCAAAACTTTACCAAAAGTTTTAGTGCTTCACCTGAAGAGATTCAAGTGGACTGATGATTTGACCCGATTACAAAAGTTATTCTACACTGTCAACTATCCATATCATTTACGCATGTTCAACACAACTGATGATGCGGAGGATCCTGATCGATTGTATGAACTTTACGCCGTGGTTGTACATATTGGCACTAACGCCTTTCACGGACATTATGTTGCGGTAATCAAGACTGAGGATAGAGGTTGGTTGCTTTTTGACGACGAGATGGTAGAACCGGTAGACAAGAGTTTTGTGCGACAATTCTTTGGGGATAAGCCAGGACAAGCCTGCGCCTATGTGCTATTCTATCGAGAAACTACAGTGGAGGCAATGCGAAGAGATCAAGAAGCTGAAGGTCTCGATCTAATCGCTACCGCTTCTGAGGTAGCAGACATTTCATCAGGGCAGCTTCAACAAAACGGCATTTCCCTATCTTCCAACTCGAAACAGGTTCTAGCAACGCCTAGCACACCGATCGATAGCGACACTAATGGATTTGGATCCCTCGACCATGCATTAACAGCACCTCTGGTAACTTCCTCTATTTCGGGCAATCCAGTTCCAACTCGAGTTCCTTCTTCACCTCTCGATACCTTCAAGTCCAAGTCTAAAGAAGAAAAGGGGCGAGGAAAGAAAGCCGAGAAAGAAGCTGAGAAAGCGGAAAAGTCTCGAAAGGCTGCTGAAAAGGCCGCTGAAAAGGCTGCTGCTAAAGAGAAAAAGGAAGCTGAAAAGGCGACTAAAGAAGCCGAGAAAGCCAGTAAAGTAGCACAAGAAGCGGAAACGAAAAAGGCTATTGCTCTCAGTAAACAAACAGAAATCGAAGAAATCAAAAGACGACAATCGGAAGCTAATATTCAAAAGGAAAATAATGGGAATGGCAGCGAGAAGAGTGATGGTAAGGGATTTGGTAGTTTAAATCTGAATAGAGGTCATAAAGGAAGCAAGAGTATGAGTAGAAAGAGTTTTGGATTTTTAAGTAAGAATGGAGAGAAGGAAAAGGAGAAGAATGGGGAAAAGAGTGAAGAAAATAACAATATACCCGAATCGAGCAACAATACGGCGGTTGAAGGAACGGCGGGCCCGCAAACACCGGAGAGACACGAGAAGGTTAAAAATGCACGATTTTCGTTTGGATTGGGACGGAAGAAGAGTAATATGTGGAGTCCGACTGTGGATAATTAGGATGTATCTATCTGACATTTTTGCAGGGGATGATGAGAAGAGAGAGATGAAGGAGATGAGAGAGAGGCGTAAGGGGTCCGGGTCGGGGCTAGGTTGTTTTTCTTGATGTTGTTTGAGAAATGTCGAGAAAGAAGTATTTGGGTCCCATGTGAGACTTGCAATTGGGAATTGGTATGGATATTAAGTGTGGGAATATATTCGCATGGACGCATGGTTGATATTGAATCTTGTTTTATTTACACTTTATATGCTTGCTTGCGTGTCTGCACGCATTTGTGCACGCACGCTATGGATAGGATAGCGAGCATGGGAAAGGGGGGTTTGGGTGAAATAGGAAATGGAATGGGTGGGGAAAAGAACGTGTGGATTTGTTGCCTATGATACTTGTATATTCTTTTGATCCTCATATACCTCATATACCATACCTATCTGTTTTACATACACTATAAATTTTTTTGGAGAGGCGTGGGTTGAATATACGGCTAGTCAATGTACGATTTGTAAATAGCAGGTAGTCGAGGATTGAAAATGAGATGTCGAATATCATAAAATGAAAATTACAGAGCGTGCTTGATGACATTGTAATATCTCTTGAAGTCTCCCTTTCCTTCTGATTCTCGAACCCCCCCGTTTCTCCTCTAGCCTGACTTAAATTCATAATTACATAAAACGCCAATCAAATTCTGTTCAGTTTTGTTCTGTGGTATATGCGCTTTTGAGTCCTTTCTCTCTTGTTTTCTCTTTCACTACCCCCTATCTTGGTCGGTAAAAGGGATCATTTTTTCGTCTGAAATTCTCAAAAGAAGTACCCTTTTATTATTACACCTAATGTCCAATACTCCATCTTCGATGCGCAATGATTTAGTTATTGTTGCACAGTGCTTTCCTTGATGTCTGTCCTTCATATCCGTGTTCTTTGGCGCGCGCAGTGGATCGTAGCGGCTTGTCTAGAATGGAATTCTGGGTTTGTGAATTCGAACTCGAATTGAATCATCCTAGGGCTAATTCGTAGATGATGATTACGGAGTTGATGCCTATTAAGGGGACTGTGAGGGTATGTTAGTTTTGTTTACTTGGTGGTTTGCGTGCCTCTCTTCTCTTTTCTTCGTTGTCTTGGCCCTCCGAATCTTATTTCCCTTGTGTGTGTCTCCGCTGCGTACTCTTCGCGCAACTTCCTGCTCTCTTCCTTCCCTTCCCTCTGCACGCGCCTCCTCCAAATCCTGGCACACTCTGCCCTTCTCTGAATCCACAAATGCGCAATGTCACAATAACGGGATTGAGAGGGGAAGAAAGATTGAACATACTCCTCATGAGCGTCCTAACACTCGTCATCAAATTCACAAGTTTTGATTTGATACTCGTGTCTGCGCTGTTTCCGCCAAAGGCTGGTTCGGCAACAGAGTTAGACCATCCGACTAGTTGTTTAGTTAGTGGAGGGAACGGTGGCCGAGGGTTTTGGGGTAGGTGACATGGGGGTGCTAGAATGGTGGATTTGGATTTGGGAATGAGGTGGAGGGAAGGGGAAAGCTAACTGCGTGCGAGGAAACGATCTTCCGATAAGATTGCGACGGCATTGGTGAGAAGAACGATGACTAAAGAGGAGGAAAATGTATCAGTATATAGATGTATATGTAACATGCAATGCTTCGAAGTATATTACGCATTGCATGCGCATGTGTCTGGACAAAGAGTGCGGCTCTATGTATATGTATTTGCGCGCGCGTCGGGAATTGATGGGGGGGTCGGAACACATACTGTAAATCAAATTTCCGAATATGAAGAACATTGTGAGAAATTTTGTGGTTTGTGCTGAGAGATACGATTGTATTGTTGGATTCGATGGAAGTTGAGGAGGTGGTTAGGTATAGACAAGGCTGTGTAAATGAAGAGGTGAAGTTGTCCACACAAGCTCGGAATCGTGCACAGACCATACGAGGCTGAGGCTGCGTGGCTCTTGAATTGTGGTTTTTGTGATGTTAGGAGATTATTTGTTTATATCTTGTTTCTTCTGGTGATTTTTGAATTGAGATTATTCATTGAGTGTTGAGATATTTTACTATGGTGGTTTCCTTGAATTTGTAAATATTCACTTTCGCTGGCCAATTTCTCAAATAGCATAACTTGTGGAAGAAAGTTGAGTGGGTGAAGCTTGCTCCTCATTTGGAGCTCTCATAGCTCTTGAGATACAGCCTCGTTCTTTATTTGCACATATTCTTTGAAAGATATCTAAAATGAAGGGGATAGGTACGCTCATCCTGCCTCTCTTCTTCTTTAAATCTAATATACTAACCAACTTCCATTAGATATCCTTCTAACCCTCTCCCTCCCTACCCTAATCCTCGTCCATCTCCTCATAGCTCCCTACACCAAAGTCGAAGAATCTTTCAACATCCAAGCCACTCACGATATTCTAAACTATGGCCTTCCTATCTCAAATATCTCTTCCACTCTAGATACCTACGACCATACCACCTTTTCTGGGGCTGTACCGAGGACCTTCTTCGGAGCACTTTCTCTGGCTGCTGTTTCTAAACCTATCATACTGCTTACGCAAGGAAAATATGCACAGGTTATTGTTAGAGGTGTGTTGGGATTATTCAATGCGGCATGTTTGATTAGATATCGAAATGGGTTGACCGGGGCCTTTGGAGTGGATGTTGGGAGATGGTATATGGCACTGCAAGTTACGCAGTTCCATGTGCTTTATTATGCGTCGAGAACTTTGCCGAATATGTTTGCTTTTGGTCTTAGTGAGTTCTCCATCTCCTGGGTCTTGACGCTGAATTGTCAAAATACTGATTTATACGTAGCAACTTTGGCATTCACGGAGTTTCTTCCAGCGACAGGAGGAAGTAGACCCGGAGTCGGAATATTCCTCTTCGTCTTTGCGGGTGTAGTATTCAGGTCTGAAATTGCTCTGTTACTCTTCACGCAATTGGCGTATCTACTTGTGTTGTCGAGGATATCGTTAAAGACAGTCATTCCGGCTGGTATACAAAGTGCTATTTTAGCTCTGGCTGTATCAGTGCCCATTGATTCATACTTTTGGCAAAAGCCATTGTGGCCAGAATTAGCCGGATTCTATTTCAATGCTATTCAGGGGAAGTCTTCCGAGTGGGGTACCTCTCCCTTTTTACATTATTTTACCTCGTTATTGCCGCGTTTACTGATGAATCCTTTGATTCTATTGCTATTGCATCCTCTGGCTTTAACTCTTCCAGCAACGAAGCACACCTCGAAAGATTTAATCGTTCCTTCGCTTTTATTCGTTGCAATCTACAGTTTACAACCCCATAAAGAGTCCAGATTTATCATCTATGTTGTTCCACCTCTTACTGCTGCTGCTTCTCTCTCAGCTTCATATATCTGGACTCGTCGTTCGAAAAGCTGGCTTTATACCTTTGGGTCTTTGGCTTTGCTTGGATCCGTTGCATTGAGTTTCGTAGCTTCATCGGCTATCCTCATGATATCTTCCCTCAATTATCCAGGCGGAGACGCCCTTTCCCAGCTTCATACCCACATCATCAAGGATCTCTCAAGATCTCCTCGTACACAACGCACGCAAGAGCGAAATATTTCAATCCATATGGATGTTCTGTCTTGCATGACAGGAATCACCCGTTTCCAACAGTACCCATCTCTTCCACTACGTTTTCCACAAAATCAAAATATCACGCTGAACTACGATAAAACAGAAGATTCTCCCGAATTGGGAGAAGCAGCTTTCTGGATGAAATTCGATTATGCGTTGATGGAGGAGCCTGGTCTGGCGATTGGCAAATGGGACGTTCTGGATACGGTATTTGCGTATGCAGGTATTGAGATCTTAAGGCCAGGGGATGGAAGTAGTTTCTCGGAGAGGCTCGAAGGGGTTTATAGGGCAAATAACGTCACTGTTGGGGATGAGGGAGCAGCCCCCAGTGCTGAGGATGTTAAGAGGATAGAGGAAGAGGGGACGCAAAATGTGGAAAAGAATAGAGAAGGGAAGGGATTTCTTGATCTCAAGACAAAATTGATGTTTGAAGAAATGAACAAATTTGGAACATACAATTTGCTTAGGGACGCGGGGAGATTAGTAACTGGTGGGTGGTGGATAGGTCCCAGAATGGAAGGGAGGATTCGGATTCTGAGGAGAATAGGAGATGAAAAGAATTGGAAGGAGGAGCAGGAGGAGCAGAGAGAAAAGGAGAGGCTTAGGGTGGGTGAGAGGGAAGATGGTGAAGAGGTGGCGACGGGGGCGGAGTGAAAGTTCGCGTGATGTGGTTTGGAATCTACGTCATTGTATTTATAGGAATAAGATCGAGGAATCTTTTGGAATGGAAAAGCATGGTACATATGGTTTCTGTGATTTCTGCTAGCTGGTTGTTTGTAATAGCAACACCTTCTACTTGTTTTAAGAAATGATATCATATTCTGGAGCCAGTATAAAAAAACTCAATCCTGTCTGTCCCCTTCTACCTCCATTGCTTACTATGCAATGCTTTTTTGAATCATCATAATGGAAGGAGTGTTGTGGGAAAATGCCCTGTTATCCGAGATGTTTTGAATGGTCAAAGTCAAGACTCGCTTGGAAAAGGGACGTAAAAAATCATCGATTGTTGACAGTAGTGTGTTTCCATTGTTGACACTACTCCAAGTTCATTGTAACTTTCCTAACCGCTATATCTACCCTCATGAAGTTTTCATTGCTGTCAAATCTGTAATCATTTACGTTATCATTGGGGGTTTGTAAGTCTTGCTTCCGTCATTTTGAGTATTGGGACTGTAACGACTGTAGGTTCCCATAATCGAGACACCTTTTTACCATCATAATAATCTATGCTGGCCATTGAATAAATTATTCTTCTACTGTTGTTGAACCTGGAGAAATTTACTCAAAAACATACGGAGACCTCACTCCTCGTTCTGGAACGGTTCAATCTAATGTATCCGGGGATTACAGAATCGCCATTCTTGATATAAGATCTAGGCCTCTGTTTGCACATTCTGACGAAGTGTTGAAAGCGTGTCGATTGGACGGAAAGGAGTTGGGTGGCTTTTGTAAGACCTTTGAAATTTGGATATGCCGTGTGCAAAGACATACGAGTAATTACTGGTTTAAGTAGTGAGAATTAGATAATGGGAGGGAAGAGAATACTCTACGTTTGAATGGGTGCTGGCCAAATAGACCTCTAGCTATAAAAGATATGCATTGGCTTTGCTTTTTATCCTGTATGTAGGTTGACGTTGTTCTGAGACCGAATCGATGGGGTTTCAAAGCACACAACTTGTGCTCAGCATCTAAGAGAATAGGTTAGAGTTGAGAGAAAGTGGAGAGCACTCCCGAGTGATTACCGGCATAGCGGTACTCGTTTTTCGTCGTTTTATCACTCTCGCTAGCAGCCCCCTATTCATTAGTATATCGTTGCCACTTTTACTTCGTCCGCTTTCACTGTTTGTGCAGTATAATCTCCACAATATTCCAGTACGTACAGCGAAGCTACACCACAGTTGTTGAGTTGAAGAACTTGGAACTAGAGAGGTAAGTTATGCAGCCGTAGCATTCGCCCTGTCGGCGCATGTGTTGAGATGTTCTTGACGTCTCATCTCCCTGAATTGAAAGAGCGCTCAAACCTCATTTTATATATCCGCTCGTAGAAGATTCCTTTCCATATGAAGATATTTCAGAGTGAAAATAACATTAACATGGGATCTTCCCCATAGTAAGCATATACTCAATAGATTACCATCTATAAACCCCCCCTCTTCTCCTCTCCTCTTCTCTATCTTTATGTAACTGACAAATTACATCGCCAACCTAATGTAGATGCAATTCAAACTTGTAAGATCCAGGATTGAGATGCGCTTGGTGGTGATGTTGCATTTCCGTGCTCCAGAGAAAATTATAAAGGATTCAAGAAGACTAATAAAGACAATTGCCGTGGATCATCTTCACCCCCATGTTCATGGATCTTTTTTTTTTATAGCACACCAGTGTTAACACTTGAGCATCGATAACATTTCCACTACCAACATCCAAGTCGGTTTACTCGCTATGAAAGTTATACATATAAAAATCATAACTTCTTGTATCTCGACCGCTTCTCTCGATGATAATTCCACGCAGAATGCCATAATTATATTGTCTACAATGCAATCCGCTGACCGTAGGCCACTCGAAGCTAGGCCAGATACCGAGCCTAGGCATTTCTTGACTTTATCTTTGCGTGCGTGCTTGAGAGGTGGCTAAACGCTAGAAAGGGTATTTTATAGGCTTGTCTGCGTCTGTGGCGGAAAGGAAGGAAGATATCGCGGTAGGATAGAGAGGAAATAGAGAAGAGGCTCTTATAAATGAGAATGAACTAAATTTTCGACAATGTACCTTCGCTGAATAGACTGTGAGAAATATGACATGGCAGCTAATTCTAATCTTTCAATTCCCCAATCTCCCATTGCCCCTAAAATTATGTTTTCTACTTTGCACATATAATTTGGAGTTAGAACAATAAGTATCAGATAAGTGTGTATCATAAGATGAGAAAAAACAAATCAGTATCAAGAGTTCCTATTGATTGTCATTCAATTCTCTCAGCCACAATTATCACCTCTCATAAAGCATCACTGTACCTTACTAACATCGACTCACACGGCACCGTCCAAAGCAAGATCTAACCTCGAAAAGCACATGGCAATCTTCCACGTCTTCAAGTCAAATCGTTCTGCCTTTCAATCAGCTCCAAGGTCTCAAGCCCCATATTTCATATCATCGTAATAGACTACATAGGATTTGTGGGTTGGAAAGCTGTGCGGGTTGATTATTTATATAGTGCAGTAGAAGTTTTAGGATTTGTCCAGCTCTGAGAGAAACAGGTTTCTAGTTTGAAAAAGACAAGCTGGTTTTTTCATGAGGCACAGTACCAATAGTCTATCTGGAAGTGAAAAATAGATTAATTTAACTATAAAATAAAGTAAATCTTCGGCTTTGAGTCTCGATCTGTAGAAAGCATAGCAGATGATAACTGAGGATTAGGGTGGTGAATTTAAATACATCGACCACTCGATATCCACTTCGTCTTTTTGAGTGTGAGAAATAGCCGTCAAGTGGATACTACAGAGTGATAGAAGAGCGAGATGCCGTGGCTCATCGCCATTATCACATTTTCACCGTAAATCTCCTCTCGTCGTTATTGTCATAAACTACTGTAAGGCTCATGCCTGTTTTCCAACATCGCAGCTCACTGGTCTAGAAACATATCACGTTGCATCTAGGATCTTGATCTATGCATGTATGAAAGGTGCGAAAGGTGCTTCTTGTCCAGAAAGAAGCTTCAAAAATCTGGACTTCGCCCGTCTTTCGAGTATGCTCAACAGTTCAGAGCCAACTACGGTATCAATTTATACTACCTCCCAGTTGAGATCAGAAAGTATCTTGAGACTAGTAGCGTGATCATGATGAAAGAATAGACCCGATGATCAATAGGCGACTTGATTCCAGGCCTGAAGTATCTGTTTTAAAACAAGTGCACGCTTCAAGCATGCCAGTCCATTCTTGTCCAGTGCCTATACAAAGCTTTCTGATTTATGTCCTAAGAACAACATGTCAATGGATCGGCGGTGAAGAAAGTATGGTGTCGGTATTCGTTGCCCCAGAGCATTGCAATAAATCTGATACCAAGATTCACCATTCCTGAAAGCCACAGCAACATTTCTGGAGCTATTGCCAAATCCCTTGTCCCCGGTCCGCAGAGGAGTTGACCTTAAAACAGTTTAACACTCCCTCTTTGTACATGCATACAAACTGTAAAACAAACAACACACACAACTCCACTGCAGTATATATTGCCCCAAAACTACAAGTAGCACACCGAGCTATCAGCCATGAGCAGCTGAACTTGATCTCAAGATCCGTGCGTGACTATATTAAACCTCCATAGGTTCTTTCGTGGAGATGGCATGCTTAGGAAGATGAAAGTCGACAGCTGGAACAACGGTGCGGAGAAGAGCAGGAAGAAAATATATGGATCATCATCCGTAGTGACAGTAATGGTTATACTATATCTATATTTGCCAATGTTCTTCTCCTATCACTATCAACTACACATTGTTTTTACACGCATATTGTCATCGTCATACACCTCTTAAATTTCAGCCAATTTGCAGCTGAGTCTTTACAAAATCTGGTTCTCTTTGCAAGAGAAGAAACATAATGCTCATGGGTAGAAGTAAAGTTCCTAGTGCGAGAACAGGTAGGAACCAAGAGCAATTCATCTATGGTACCGAGAAGGGGGTGCAAGAAAGTCTCTATACATTGATTTCTGGCCAAAGGAGAGGCGAGGCGAGATTGCATGCAAGTAACGCACGAATAGCCCAGCTACTTCACTCGAAGGACGATCATTCATTGGACTTCTTGGGTGACTTCCAGGACCACAGCTGAGGATAGCATGAAAGCAGACTGAAAAGAATAGCAACACATTTATAACATCAACATCCCATAGTTACATCCCCAAGCACAACATTCAAACACACGAGACATCAAGAATCCAATTTCCAACTTTTAATGCATTGGCACAGAAGGGAATCTCATTTAACTCGGCTCCCAAAAGAGTCTCGGGTCGTTCGACTAGTCTACATATTCACAAACCCTCTATTCTTCCGAAGCAGCAGCACCAGTAATAATTTCAACCAATTCACCAGTAATGACGGCTTGACGGGTTCTGTTGAAGAGAATTTGGTACTTAGTGATCATGTCACCGGCGTTCTTGGAAGCATTCTGATATTGTTTAGTAATTTTTATGACTATGTGGAGTTGGAGAAACTTACGTCCATAGCGTTACGACGGGCAGATTGTTCACAGGCATGTCCCTCAGCAAGAGCCCAGAAGAGGGAGTTGGCGAGAGAATATTCACGGAGGTTACCAAGGGTCTCATCTTCGATCTCGAAAGCGGAGAAGTTGGCTATTTGAGTATGTCAGCATTATCCCACATATTAGTCCAAATATAAGTAAAACTTACGGGAGTTGGCAATAGCCTCCTCGGAGAAAGCCTCGATTGGGGTGGCCTCGTAACTTGTAGCGTTGATGAACTTGTTGTAAACGATTTGAACAGAGGAGTAGTCGGTTGGCAAGAGAACGATTTGATCCGCAATAGCTTGAGCATCTGCGAATGTAGGGACATCCTTTCCAACACCAGCAAAGTTCATGACAATGTTCTTTCCGTTGGAACGACTGAGTTGAGCCTTGCACTTCTCACCCAAAACAACAATATCGGCATTTGAGTCTGCGGCCAACATTCTGCGGACTTGCTTGGACAAACCGGAATGGATACCACCGCAAAGACCCTTGTCTGAACTGGCGACAACAATCAGTCTCTTCTTGTCACTCTCCAAGGCCTTGGTCTCGGCGTGTTCGAAAACGCTGTTGGAGCTCTCTCCGTAGGATCGAGACTCTCGCATAGCCTTTTGTGCTCGGGTAAGCTTGGTGGATGCAACGATCTTCATGGTGTTTGTAATTTTCTCGATATTGCGAATGGACTTTAATCTGTCCTCGATTTCACGGAGAGTCGCATATCCGGCAGCTTGAGGGGCAACTGGTCTGCAGGCCCAATATCATCAGCCTCCATATCCTGCACTATTTTCCTCATGTCCCGGACCCCGCTATAGTAGTCTCATCTCTATCACTTCATCAGGAAGAAGTCTTACCTGGCGGAAGCCGCGACGGCTGCTCGCAGAGCGGGTCTGGCAGTTCTCGAAAGCATCTTGAAAACTAAAAGAACGGTACCAACTAATTCAATATCGAGGCTTAATTGACCACGATTAAGTTAGGAATCAATTGACTGTTGCAATTCGAAATCGGTATTTCGGCTGGATTTCGTCGTTCAATGGGAAAAGCTTCAGAATGCGCTAGTCGGTCACGTGTCTATAGGTGGGCAATGTGATTGTGTTATTTAAATCGGGCAAAGTCGGAATTTATTTTGTTCAATTTTGTATATCGACAACATGAAGCCATCGCAAATTGAATATTGCATAGGTGATTTGGAAAAATTAGAGGACAATTGAATCGGAGCATAAGAAGGCGGCAGAAGTCTAGCTAGTCCTGTTGCAAGTCCACAAATGCTGTCTTCACGAGGAATGAGTGCGGGACTAAGATCACAACTCTGGCATTGATTCTTTTGTACTGTCATCCTCAGATTCTTGCCCAGAGCCCGCTGTCATATGGTAATTCGTGGTGGTAAGAACGCGCATGGTGTAATGCTACGACAGGAACGACAGGAACGACAGGAATGACAGAAATACAGCTCATTATTTTTGTCCTTCTCCAGGTGGTTTCCCTTTGACAATCCTCAACTATTCAATAGAGCATATACGAAGCCATTGAGTGGACCACAAAGAGTGTTCGGATACTCGGAGTGGTGTTCAACCTCCAATAGCCAGCCTCATCATGCAAGTGATCCGATTGGTATTTTTGGTCAACTTTCAGAGTGGAATAATTCGAGTTACTTATCCAGTACTGAACAATCGAAAGAGCGGCATCGCCGATGCATCTTGCGATACTATATTTGAATGATTAGTTGTAGGGCGAAGGAAAGAACTTCGCATGGCTGGAACTCGGGTCCAAGTTATTGTGGAGGAAATACTGGCATTGCTTTCAAAAACGGAGACTTCACGATATAAACACTGGTCTACGTTGTTTGAAGTACTACCCGCTGGAGACTTGATGTAGCCCTATAGATCCTCACCCTGTTGGTATTGGAGCTGCATCGACTCTTCAATTATCAAGACATGGTGAGATGATTCTGGCGTGCTGTTACTTTGTGACTTGGAGCACAATACTGTAAGGAAGGATACCGATATGAGCATATTAAGATGGAATGGAATTACCAGCTGTTAATACTGAGTCAAATATTCTTGCAACTCTTTAGAATAGTACTTAGTAGAACCGTCCACATGTTCAAATTCTTGATATTGTACAAGTTTCTTCGAATGATGGGTATCTAGTTTATGATTATTGAAGCCTCTTGAAATAGGTATCAAAATTTAGAACCAGTTCTTTGCAAAAAGCATTTAAACAACACCTACCCAGTACAGTGTATAATATATCGTCGAGAAGAAGTAAAAAGTTCCCAATTAATGAAGCTTTAGGAAACCTTGACTGGAGACAACAATGGCCCATGCGAACCGGCTGATCGGGTTATGACCAGCCAGCCTCGAGCCAGCCATTGTTTTAATGGCGCGATAGATCAATCGACAGATATTTAGGTAGGTACTAGGTAGACATCTACTCGAGTACATAAATAGAGTTTGTATATAAAACTATTTGTTAATCGAGGTCCAAGTACGCTCCCCATAGCTAAGTTTTACTGTACTGTAACGTATTGGTATGCTTTATTTCCTTACTGCATTGTATTGTTGCGACGAACTGCAGTACCACGTGACTACCACTTCGTATACAAAAAGCTCATGTACCTTTCTGACCCTTGCTTCTCTCTGTTTGAAAAGTTGGGACAGTGGCGACCAATAAGCGCTCTGAACTTTCCTGCAAAGTGAATTTACCTCGATAATCTACTCTTTTTTATTGCTACCTACCTTGTATATAAAACTAGACAGTGCCTCGAGTGCGATCGAAAGGAACATCGAAAACACGTGATCTCTCCATTTACATGCACCTTCCTTCCCCAAGTCCTTCCAAAAGAATCTCAAAAATTCCGAGCGCCTTATTTTATTACCAGGTACTTTATATTCCACTTACTTTCATGATCGCAAAGCGCCTCATTCTTCAACCTATCTTTAGGATAATAGATCTTCCATTTGTCAAAACAATACACATAGCCGATCGTACATCAATACGCGCTCAGAGGTACTTTTCTTTGGCTGAATCTTAAATTCGATACACTTTCAATCGCGGTTTTGGATCGCCAATACGCTTAAAAGCGCAGCTTATTGACGATATTCAGCTCTTACTCTCGAATCGCAACTCCCTCAACTTCACCTCTTTTTCGACTATACTCTTTTCCTTTCAAAATGTCTTCTTCTGATGACGATATGCCTTTGGCAAGAACAAACGGAACCAATGGCAATGGTAAGCAGCAAACAGCTTTTCTTTCCTTCCGCTACAGCCTAAACTGCCATTTCCTGTTCAACCTCTCAACCCTTCAGCTTTGCAACATTGCCGAATTTTATCTCAACTTCAGGGCAAATACTAATCATGTCCACAGTTTCGCAAGGTCGTATACCGAAAAGTGTCGACAGAGCCATGGACAAGGCTGGTGCAAATGCGAAGGCTGCCCCCGTGGGAATCTCCATTCGCAATGGGCCTGTTTTGGACGATCCTATGGATATAGACGGGCCTGCTATAAATGGCGCTTCAAAGCGAAAATCACGATCAAGCATTGGTAACGGAAAAGCTGTAAACTACAAGGTGGATCGTAGCGGCAGTGAAAGTGAAGAGGTGCCATTGGTATGTCGACTTTTAGTTGAAACATTCAATCATATGATATCCCTCATGATGTACAAGTTTGACAATGGTGGTATACTGATTGATGTATTAGGCGAAACGACAAAGAACATCCATCAAGAAGAAAGTCGCGGATTCCGATTCAGATGATGATATGCCTTTGGCTGGCAGGCGCAATTCTAAATTACCTCCCAAAGTTTCCGCCGCTGCCATTGGAGAGTCATCTTCAGATGACGAGCCACTTACCGTCAAACTTTCCAAGGAGAAAGCTTCCATCGAAAAGCACGCCGAGAAGGAAGCAAAAGCCTTGCGAGCAAAGAAGGCAGCATCCAAAAAGGCCATCAAGAAAGAAGAATCCGATAGCGACGACGATGTTGCACCCAAAAGGCGGAAGTCCAATGGTGCGGCCACGAAAAAGGCCAATGGCGTAAAGAAAGAGGAATCTGATTCCGATGCGCCTCTTGCAAAGAAGGCTGCCCCGAAGAAAGTAAACGGCAAGGTAAAGGCGGAACCAGATACAAAGAAGAGCAAGGCCAAGAAGGAGGAGAGCGAAGAAGCAGATGAGGTTTATCGTTGGTGGGATGCACCCAAGAAGGAGGATGACAGTATCAAATGGGAGACATTGCAACACAATGGAGTTGTCTTCCCTCCAGAATACGAGCCACTCCCAAAGAACGTCAAATTGAGGTATGATGGGATCCCACTTACTTTGTCTCTAGAATCGGAAGAAATTGCAGGCTTCTTTGGTGCTATGTTGAATTCGACCCACAACGTCGAAAATCCGACTTTCCAGAAGAACTTTTTCAAAGATTTCACCGATTCTGTTAAGAAAACTGGAGGTGCCAAGGATAAGGACGGAAACAAGGTTGCTATCAAGGATTTTACCAAGCTTGATTTCAAGCCAATTTTCGAGTATTATGATGGCAAGAGTACCGAAAGAAAGGCTCGATCTGCAGCTGAGAAGAAGGCCGAGAAAGCGCTTAAAGATGAGGCTGAAGCACCATATAAGACTTGTATCTGGGACGGACGCAAGGAAGATGTGGGAAATTTCCGTGTCGAACCTCCTGGACTATTCCGTGGTCGCGGTGAGCATCCAAAGACTGGTAAAGTCAAGCTCAGAGTTACTCCCGAGCAAATTACTATCAACATCGGCAAAGACGCTACTGTTCCTTCTCCCCCTGAGGGTCACAAGTGGAAAGCTATCCAACATGACAACAAGGCTACCTGGCTTGCTATGTGGCAGGAAAATATCAACGGTGCTTACAAGTATGTTATGCTTGCAGCAAAGAGCAGTATCAAGGGCCAGAGCGATTTTAAAAAGTTTGAAAAAGCTCGTGAATTGAAGGAGCATATTGATCGAATCCGAAAAGATTACACTCAGGATCTCAAGGCTGAACTAATGGCCGATCGACAACGAGCCACTGCAGTTTATCTCATTGATAAATTTGCCTTGCGTGCTGGTAATGAAAAGGATGCGGAGAATGAAGCTGAAACTGTTGGATGTTGTTCCTTGAAATATGAGCACGTCACTTTGAAGCCCCCAAATACTGTCATTTTTGACTTCTTGGGAAAGGATAGTATTCGTTTTTACGATGAGGTAACAGTTGACCCTCAAGTCTTCAAAAATTTGAAGATTTTCAAGAAGGCTCCAAAGAAGAATGGCGATGACATTTTTGATCGTCTCAATGTAAGTACAATACTATGCTTCATTTGGACTACTACTGACCACTGCAGACTACCCAATTGAACAAGCACTTGACGAATTATATGCCAGGTCTGAGTGCCAAGGTCTTCCGTACTTACAACGCCTCTTGGACCATGTCGGACCTCCTCAAGAAACTTAAGAATAGTGACATTTCTATGCAAGAGAAGATCAAGCTATATAACGATTGCAATCGCAAGGTTGCCATTCTCTGTAATCACAAACGGACAGTTGGTGCTAGTCATGAAGCTGCAATCGAGAAGATGGATGATGCAGTAAAGGGTCTCAAATATCAGAAATGGCGCCTAAAGCAAATGATTCTCGACATCGATCCAAAACAAAAGAAGAAGAAGGGTGCTGATTGGTTCGCTTTGGACGAAGAGCTTGACGAATCTTGGATTCAAGAGCATCAAGCCTTCCTTGTTGCTCAAGAGCGTATCAAGATTGAAAAGAAGTTTGCAAAGGAGAACGAGAAACTTGTATCCGAGGGTCAAAAAGAAATGAAGGCCAAAGAACTCAACGAACGTCTCCAAGCTGCTACAGATTTAGAGAAGAAGTTTAAGAAAGAGAACAAGACGAAGAAGGTCGAAGCTGAAGGTAAAGGACCTAGCGTCGAGAAGTTCGAGGCCAATATTACGAAGATAGACGAAAGAATCGCCAACATGCTTCTCAAGCGGGAAGACCGAGAGGGTAACAAGGAGGTTGCGCTCGGTACCAGTAAAATTGTGAGTTTAAATTGGTGAATTGGTATGGAACGTATGGCTAACGAAATTTCAGAATTATATCGACCCACGTCTCACCGTCGTCTTCTCTCAGAAGTTTGATGTACCGATCGAGAAGTTCTTCTCCAAGACTCTCCGTGAGAAGTTCGCCTGGGCCATTGATTCTATTAAGGATGAGGACGACTGGGAGTTCTAAACTCTAGACTTTATACAAACTTCTAATACAGTTTCTTCAAAACTATTTCGAATTTCGAACCTTCTTATTGCTTGTGTTTCAATAGAACAGTTATTCATTATTGCATTTACACATCGTGGCATTGCATGGTTGAGATTTCTTGCATACCTATAGGCTGGCTTCGGGGAAGTGGAAAACCCTAGGGAATGAGAAGAATAGGATCTTCCAGAATCAACCATAGAGGATTTGTTTCCTCTCGCAGTTGAATTGCTGCTGCTTATCCAGCATTCATTGGGTTCCACGCCAACGCCTTTCCGCCATGGCACATAATAGCGATAGCGCACGCAGTTAAAAACATTTGGGCTCACTGCCATCTGCAATTGTACATAGTTTTACATACCCAGCAACAACGTAGAGCGGGACAAGCAAAATAAATCTTTATAAATTTACTCTGACATTCTGGCATCGTTGATAGGCAACGTGACTTGAGTGAATTGTTTTCGCTAATATTAACACTTCAATTAGGGGATACCTAGGTAGATAGAGCTCTGAACAACCTGCAACTCAATGCTCATGTGTCCACCACCTCGCATTACAAGCGTTCCAACTTACAACCTTCCTCGATTCAAAATGTTTGGATATAACTCATAATTCGTTAGTGGGCTACATGGTGTGCGACATCGCTGAAGTGAGTATTCTTGTGATAAACATCAGCTTTTTTGAATGTTGGTTGGCTTAAGAAAATTTCGAGCTTGTTGATTCGTCTTATCAATAGCAATGTTGCTTTTATTTAGAAAAATAAATTCGAGGTAGTCAGAGTGAGGCAAGAAAGCAAAAGGAGAGAATAACATAACATGATATATTTCTATTCTAAGCTTGTTGGATCGAGACAAAAGAGAAATTGAACTGTACTGTCCGACACAATAAATCGATATCTACACGTGACTCTTGATTAAGCTCTGAAATACTAGAGGGAGGAGTACAAGGGTAGCTGGTAGCTTCCGATTTCATATCATCCTCATTTTTCTTCCCTTTGCTCTGAAACTCGATACTGGACATTCAGTATGAAGCCTTCGAATTCCTCACTCAGAAAACTCAATCCTTATGTGTGTAAAGCGTGCACGCGACGCATAAGAAGTTTTGCCACGACGGCTTCTCCTCCGGGTGCGACGTCGATTGCGAATAAGAATCGGCGTCCGGATGTTTATGATGTGGTGTGTGTGGGAGGGGGACCGGCGGGATTGAGTCTGGTTGCTGCTTTGCGTAGGTTTGGTTTCTTCTGTTTCCTCTCTGGGGTTGAGTATGCGATTTGGGGAATCGTGAGGATTAATGGATATTACAGGCGCAAACCCCCTCACTCGTAATCTGCGGCTCGCGCTGATCGAACCGCAAGCTTTGTCTAAATCGCTCAATTGGAAACCGAAGGATGGGGAGTATTCGAATCGGTGTAGTAGTTTGACGCCGAAGAGTGTGAGGTTTCTCAAGGATATAGGGGTGTGGGAGGAGGTGGAGGGGAGGAGGGTACAGGGGTATGGGGGAATGCAGGTTTGGGATGGGGTTAGTGGGGGGAGGATTGGGTTTGATGTGGAGGTTGGGGGGAGGGGGGAGGAGGTGGTGGAGGGAGAGGGAAAGGTGGTGGCGTACATGAATGAGAATGCGAATTTGGTGAGGGGGTTATTGAGGAGGATAGAGGGGTTAGGAGGGGTAGATATTTTGGAGGGGAAAGTTGCAGATATTGAGTTGGGACAGGAGACCGAAGAGGGAGATTTCTCTGGCTGGCCAATTGTGAAGGTGGAAGGATGTGAAAAAAGTCTCGCGGCGAGATTACTAGTCGGCGCTGATGGACAAAACTCCCCCGTGAGGAAATTCGCAGGCATTGATAGTCGAGGGTGGGATTATGGTCGTGTGGGTGTAGTAGCGACTTTGGCACTAGAAGCTCAGCATGAAGTGGGCAAGATTGCATATCAAAGATTCCTACCTACAGGACCAGTCGCCATGTTACCTCTCCCGGGAAATTACGCAACGTTGGTTTGGAGCACCACTCCGGAAAATGCAGCTGTTCTGAAAGGATTGAGTGCGAAAGATTTCATCGCTATGGTGAATGCGGCGTTTAGATTAAGCACGGTGGATTTGAAATACATGCACACTCAGTCGTCAGGCCAAGCAGAAGAAGTATCATGGCGTCTCCAACACACACCTATTTCCGGCACTGTGCCTGCCCCTGTCACTGGCGTCCAGGAAAACAGTATCGCTTCCTTTCCTCTCAAAATGCGCCACGCAGATACATATATTGGGGAACGCATTGCACTGGTTGGAGACGCGGCACATACTATTCATCCGTTAGCGGGCCAGGGACTCAATCAAGGACAAGGAGATGTTGAGAGTTTGGTCAAAGGGATCGGTTATGCGGTGGATCATGGGATGGATATCGGGGTACGCATGAGTTTGGAATCGTATAATTCGGAGAGGTATATGCAGAATCATGTGTTATTGGGGGTGGTGGATAAATTGCACAAGTTGTATAGTGTGGAGAGCGGACCGGTGGTCTGGGGGAGGACGTTGGGGTTGAGAGCTGTGGATGCGATGGGACCGTTGAAGAAGTTCTTGATGGGTCAGGCTGCGGGGACGGGGACAAAGATCTTGTAGGATTGTTATAGTGTTACAGAGGGGAGTGATAATGATGTAGCTCGGGGGTTGAGAATGACGTTCATACGTATATACATGATGGATGGGCGTATGATTGTATGAGTAATGAGAAGAAAAATCACGATAATATATTCAACTTTGGAAATTGTCTTCATGAAATTCATGAACCTGTAATAAAATATGGAATGACGTGCCAAAAAAAACACCCAGCCACTCAAACGCCTTGCTGTAATGCCAGATACCAAAGTATTCTTTTCCCAACCTTTGCAGTTATGCACTCTTGATCCATTCATGTATTGCTTCATTTTTCATGTCCTAGAAATTCGTCCATGCATCTGTTTCCCTTGCCTTGCCTTGCCTTGCCTTGCCTTGCCTTGCCTTGCCTTGCACTCGAGAAACACTCTTACTCAACCCATTTCCCTTCTGCCTCACTTCCCTTTCTCCGATTCTCCATGCGCTCCGGAGTTTCTTCCCCTCCCTTGAAATCTTTCAAACCCCATCATCATGATAATAAAAATCGATGTCCCTCGGTCTCTTGCGATTGTACTTCACAAACTCATAATCACCCTCGGGACGCTCATTCTTTGTGTTTCCGGTCAACATGGATTGTAGGGACATGCAGATGGACTCGACGTTTTGGACGGGCGACCAGCCTTGGGTGCCGAGCAGATCGAGACAGATTATGCCGTTGGAATAGATGTGTGGGTGCATGGGAATGGGGCGGGGCGGGGCGGAGAGCGCGAGGAAGGTTACTTCGGGGGTTCTGGGAGGGGTTAGCTGAGGGTTTGGGGGGGAGGGGAAGGGGAAGGGAGAGAGAGACATACCGATGGGATAGTTAGGTGTGAAAACTAATTTTATTCGGTAGGTTTCTCCTTGGTATAGAGGATTCGAATCTAAAACGCAGATGTCGACAAGCCATTCTTTGAAATCTTCGGCGGATACCAGAGTTATTCCTGGAGGGAGACTTTGGTGGATCTTTGGGTAGAGTTAGAATTTGAGATATTGAGATCGACATAAGGAGGGGTTTGTATATACCTTGTTGAGTTCCTTTCCCAGACGTTTACTTGCGATTCCCATGGTTGTCATGTTGTCAAGTTATATACCTAGGTAGGTATAGCTATCGATGGATGATGGTACGTATGTATATTTGTATGTTTGTATGTATCCTCGTTCTTGTGCGATATGTAAAGTCGAAATCGAATCGAAATATATTTGCAAGACCTAGTAAACAATAGGGACCACGGGTATCTTTGCGAAAAGCTCAAAAACTGGGGTTCGAAACTAGAGATCGAAGAGTGAATGAGTGAATGAGTGAATGAATTGTCGAGAATTGTTGATCCTATTACTCTCTATGAGTAGAGTAGTGAGTCGAATAGTGAGTAGAGTATACTCGAGTAAAAGAACAGTTGAGAAGTTTCGTGGTGATATGATATGATATGATATGATATGATGTTGAAAATGGGAACCTGCATATGATAAGGGACTAGGTAGGTAGGTAGGTAGGTAAGGCAGCTAAGGTAGAGGTAGGTGACCAGCTTGGGAGGGGCTGATGAGAAACAAACTGGTTGGGCGAGACTTTGGCTTGGAGAGTGGCTATTGATTATCGATTATCCATTATCCGTTATCCGTTACCTTATACCTATGCGAGTGTGGTGTGGCAAGGAGCAGCTAGCTACTCGGTATATAGATAGATAGATAGATATGTAGGTAGTTGGGTATCTGTAGGTTTTTGTCGTGGGGTAAAGTATATACTTTAATGAAGGATGAATGAATATGAATATGAATATGAATATGAATATGAATATGAATATGAATATGAATATGAATATGAATATAGATATACTATATCTAATACCTATACCTAGTAAATATAAATATGAAGCAATTCATAATAACTTCATTCCTACTCTATTTTACCCGCTTACCTACCTGCCCACTACTCTTTTATATGCTTCATTTACTACATATATATACACACACATATATATATATATACCTAGTATCGATCACCTATCTGATATCTCTAAATCTCTCAACCTCCCTACCTTTGTACCTTCACACCAGACCTTTCATTCCTGGCGATCCAATACGCAACACGATACCTCCCTGGGTAGAATAGAATACCGGTATGTGTATTCGTGTGTACCTCGTACAGATTGAAAAAGAATGGGGTCCACCCTGAATATATCTGAGCCACACTAAAAGCAAAGACTAAACTCGGAACGAACCCTTGGGCTGACCACTGCCACTGATCACTGCCCCGCCGTTCATTATTCTTGTGCTGCGTAATGGACGAGATGAGTGGTGGATATGGTATGAATATGTGAATGTCTGAACTGCGGCTGAAGAAAAGAAGAGGTTCCTGGTTAGAGGGAAAAAGAGAAACTTTATTTATATCTTTCATGTCTATTTCCTTTCTTGATTATCTCCGTCTTCCTTTGCCCTTACAGAGGTAATATAAGTATTTATTACTTGATCACAGTCACTCGTACGATACAAGTAAGACATTCATACCATATTCCATTCCATTCAACAAATTACCACTAAAAACCGTTTCAACTCATCCTTTCTTTGAACCCTTTAGATCTCTTGCCAGCCTGTTCGAACCCCACTAAGACATCTCCGCAATAACATCTGAACATCTGAACTTCTTACTCGAGAAGAGTTTCTCTCCAACTTTCACTCCAAATCGTCATATTTTAACTTTGCGCATACAGTGATTGCATATCTAAAATCATTCAAGGCGGCATTTAAGGAAGCGTCAAATAATTGAGGTCGCAATAGCTATCGCAATAAAGCAGGCACGATGAGTTGTGAGTTTGATTTGCCCTTTACTTTCCCAGTGAGCTTGATAAGGAGGGGAGGATATCCAACAACGAACATCTGTATCAGCAGATGAAAATAAGTATTTTCTATGTACCTAAAAACCCTCCTTGAAACTATTCTCCCTTTTAAAATCTTCTCATTTTTCTTCGCTCTATCCTCCTATGGTCAGTTGTTTAAAATGACACGCACTTACCATCGTCGTTCTGAATCTCCAGTCTCTGGTATGCTCAACAAGCTGCACGGTCAGCCAGAAAGTTATGATAAAAAGTAAGTCCATGAATATGCATCTGCGAAAACACGCTTGCTAATTATATCCTAGAGCCAAATACAAGTTCGGTCGAACCCTCGGTGCTGGTACCTATGGAATCGTCAGAGAAGCAGATGGCCCAACAGGAAAGGTCGCAGTGAAGATTATCCTCAAGAAAAATGTCAAGGGAAATGAACAAATGGTCTATGATGAACTTCAAATGTTGCAAAAAATGAAGCATAAGCATATCGTCAAGTTTGTGGATTGGTTCGAGTCTAGAGTAAGGAAGAGATCGCTACTGCGTAGAGGGAAACGACTAATGCGTCGCAGGACAAATATTACATTGTTACACAGTTGGCTATTGGTGGAGAGTTGTTTGATCGAATTTGCGAACAAGGAAGATTTACGGAAAAAGATGCTTCGCAAACCATCCGTCAAGTTCTCGAGGCTGTAGACTACCTTCATGACAATAACGTTGTTCACAGAGGTAGGAGTTTCAACATGGGTTTTTACTTCTAGCTAACAGCAATTAGATCTCAAACCTGAGAACTTACTCTACCTCACTCAAGATCCTCACTCCGACCTCGTACTCGCAGATTTCGGTATCGCCAAAATGCTCGACACAAAAGATGAAGTTCTTACAACAATGGCTGGATCATTTGGTTATGCCGCTCCTGAAGTTATGTTGAAGAAGGGCCATGGAAAGCCTGTAGATATGTGGTCTATGGGTGTCATTACTTATACACTCCTCTGCGGTTATTCTCCTTTCCGAAGCGAGAATCTTCAAGATCTTATCGAAGAGTGCAGCAATGCTAGAGTCATTTTCCATGAAAGATATTGGAAGGATGTTAGTGATGATGCAAAGGATTTCATTGGTCATCTTTTACAACCACGTGCAGATGATAGATCTACAAGCAAGGTATGTTTTGCAGAAAGTACAATTTGTCAGATTTGGAGTCACTAAAAATTTCATAGGAAGCACTCGCGCATCCATGGTTGAGCGGAGAGAATGCCACCGATCACAATTTGCTTCCAGAAATCAAGGCTTACATGGCCAAAGCCCGTCTTCGTCGTGGTATCGAAATGGTCAAGCTCACCAATCGCATCGAAATGCTCAAAATGCAAGAAGACGACAACGAAGAATCAGACGTTCCCGGCAATGCTGCAGCCGCCGCTAGCGATGCTATTCCTGGTAGCCCAGAAAGAAAAAACACTGGTTCATCTTCAGCTTCAGGATCTACATCTCCTGGAGAAAAGAGGAGTTTGAGTAAAATAGCCAAGGGAGCCATTTTTAGGGAGGTAGTATTGGCGAAGGTTAGAGAAGTTAAGGCAGAAGAGGCGGCAGCTCAAATCGAGAGACAGGCAACTGAGGCGGCGAAGAAGAAGTCGGCGACTCAATAATTTAAGTTTTATTGGCCTCTGCGTTTCTCATGGTGATTGTTGGATGAGATGGGCGACAAAATTATGTTGCCCGGGTTGTATGGGGATTCTTCCGAGCTTGGCCTGGGGTAATATCAATAGGTACCTTTTGATGAATAACATTGTGAATATCGGGTATGGGCTATAGGGTATCGATGATTCTACTTCTTTTTGCGCGAATGGTTTTTAAATTCCTGATATGGGATGATTGGGTTGGTTGAAAGGCATGGATGGATGGATTATTATAGGGTTAGTCGGATGGACTTGGTCTTGAGCACGAGTACCTCACTACCTCTACCTATTTATGCAGATGGCGAATGGAATTTCGATTGTGAATTCAATTTTGTGTGAAGAGTACATGTTTTGATGCGAGTGAAGTTGTTTGAAGCCATTATGTTCATAAGAATGGTTCTATCTTCCCCATTCTAATTAGTGATGTATGCAAATGTAGTGGACACTGGGGAAACTGCTAGTGCAGTTTTGTATGTGAATTTTAATTCTTGAGTTGATATTGGCAATGTGATAATTGTATAAAATCTAAACCTCACAAAAAATCGAGATCATTTGGGAGTATGAGAGGATGGGAGGGCCAAAGGCTATGATTTGATTTGATTTGATTTGATTTGATTTGAGGGGGAGAGGATTGGGTATTTAGTGTTTGTGTTGAGATGGAAGCTGTGCCTTTTTGTTGTTGTTGTTTTGCTTTTTCTCGTCTCACGATGCATCGAATATCTGACATCCATATCATTCGGAAGCTCCACGCCATGAATGTGCTTGTTAGTCTGTGGTGGATCTTCGGTGGTATATATACCTTTCTTCTCTCATATCGAGTTGATGAATCCTGAGTTGGCTTGCTGCTCGTCTGTTCTCGGATGGTCGCTTGAGGATAGTTGGTATTCATGGTTTGTGTGGATGTATGTGCATAAATGTCATTCCGAATATCCATCATCGTTTAATTTATTCATTCGCGGAGCCTGATCTTCTTTCGCACTGTCGAACACGGAAATGGTTTTCTGTGTAGTACCAGAGTAAAAGCACGACCTATACTTACCTACCTACCTCCTTTCACCCTAAGAAGCTGGAATTCACTCTCCCTAGGAACAGGTTTGCTGCATAGGTAATATTTTCCCCTTTTCCTACCCCGGTGAAACGCAAACATCAGTATTCGTCAACCCGCTCTAACATTTTACTTGAGGCTTCAAATGAATGGATGGATGGATCGGTCTTTTATATCTGCTCCAAGGTTAACTCCATCATTCATGTTTGGTTAATTTTTGGATCTTGGATTCGAGATACTGAACGGAATGGGAGATTGGATTTGTATGCACTCTTTTGATCTTTCGGGAAGCAGGTTGGATGTTTTCAAATCTTTGTTGGTATATATACTACATATTGATCAATTCTTTGAGGGCATGCCAACGATGGGAGCTGTTTTGGTGTTGAAATAGGTTGGGGAGTTGGGTTTTGTGTTTGGGGGAAAGGGGGGGGGGGGGGGGGGAGGATTATGATTGGAATTGGTAACTTGTGAGTTGTGATGTCGATAGGAGAAGGTTTGTTGTAAACTTTTCTTCGATTCTAGATGTAAGTTGTTGTCGTGTATCTGAGATGCGTGAGTACCTAGATATTCGCAATCGTTTACTGTCGAATGGATACACATCTTCTCACTATCGAAATAAGCTGGATCTTCCGTACCTTATGACTATCGTTTTATGGGGTATATCAGGGCCTTCATCATGTCCACGCGATCAGATGATGATGATGATGATATACTTTTAGTTGAGTAGATCATTGCCGCACCTTACCGTGCGGTTCACTGATTGAATATGTAGTATCGTATTGAATAGACACGCGGTGTGAGGAGTTTTTATATCTTGTAAGTTTGGAGAGACCTACCTACATAGAAGTAGAATCATAGTGAATAATCAATCAAGACAGTATAAGATCATATCTGCAAGTGAGAAATTTACTCACTTTTATTTTACTATATACGTGGATATCAGCGAAGACAGACGGTGCATCTATGTCAGGTCATCTGGAATCGTAATCATCACTTCAAAAACATCAAACTCCGATGAGAAAGGATTTCGAGAATCAATTTCCCATTGAAGTAAATTTTGGTTTAGGGTTCTCATTATTCCATGCCATACTATTCATTGTGCATTCTTCTCGCGTTTTATAAACGGCCTGAGCCTGGAAATAAATTGGTACACTTTTGCTGTCGTTCCATTCATATCGTCTGATTACCGTGTATATTTCCGTTGTCGCAATGCGTTAGATAGATATGGCCGAAGAAACTGATGATGACTTTCGTCCCGTTGTCGCATTCTTCACATGTACGTGTGACATCTTAGACATAGTATTACACAAAGTAGTCGGTGATATGTAGATTCTTGGATTATACTAACTAGATAGCATCTTGATAATCCTGTTAGATACTTGGCTAACATCGCCGGCTTTCTAAATAGATTCCAAACTCATGTTTGAAACAAAGAGAGCTCGAAATTTGTGTCCGACGCACTTAAACTGCAAAAGCAACATCGCATGAGATTAGATCCAAATCCACAGACCGCCGAAACATCAGAAGATCAAGTCCGTCTATTCTGAACTACTCGTTCAACCTGGAACTCAGTATCGTGCTCTCACAAACATCGACAACAGTAGGATCTATATATTGCGACTCTGGATATCAGAGAGATTCAAGACTTGGTATAAACATACACAGCATATAGCTTCTAGGGTATCGAACACAGCGAACTTTATCTTGTGAAGATTGTACTCCCAGATCGAGAGTTAGTAATGAAGTAGGTATGTAATAGAGAAATTGGAGTGATAATACAATCCATTGAAAAGTTACTCATTTGAGATACATGATGTCTACTCCGGGAATAGCATCAATTAATGACAAATAGCAACTTTGCTTGAGGTTTAGATGAAGAGAGAGAGAGAGACATGTAAAGCGAAAAAAACATAAGAATTTATTTACATCTCCTCTGGATCAAAAGACTCGTGTGAGTAACCATCCAAAGATTCTCTCTCCTCCGCATCGTCGCAAAGGAAAGCAGAGATGCAGGAGAAAAACGAAAGCCAGATTTCTCAGTCTCGTATTAGAAGACAAGCCCCAATTAACATGATACTAATTAATAGCCAATAGACACTTTACCTCCTAAAAAGATAAACCCTTCTGCACTCACCCTTCATTCAATCCACCCCCCTCGACCCTAACCCTCCAAACCCACAAAAAAGACCTCACTCAAACAGTCCTGTGAGAGGTGCAAAAATTGCAAAAAATTCAATGAAGGGAATTGAGCCCAACGCGGGGGTCGAACCCGCAACCTTGTGATGGACCAGAAGATCTTTGAAATCATAAGAGTCACACGCTCTACCGATTGAGCTAGCCGGGCAGGCTTTGTTTTATTGTTGTAGAGATAGTGGTTAGATTGATTTATATCCAGAGTTTGCACTTCAAAGTTTGAGTGGTGGACAATGAATGAGGGGTAAGGTTAAGCGGGTAAGAGATTTTTTTATGGTGGGGTTCGTGAGGATGTGAGTGATTGGTGGGTAGTGAAGGATTTTGAGTGGTGCAGATGCTGGATTGGTGAGCCGTGCGTGGAATGCAAGGCTACTTGGTTGATTGGGCTGAGCCGACCGAGCCGAGTTGGCCGGCGATTTCAATGGCTATTCAGAAATGATCAGAAGAGATCAGAAGAAGTATGGGTGAAAAAAGGTTCTTATATTTTTGATATCAATGATGATAAAAGGTAGGCTGCATGCATGCTTGGAAATGGAGGACATATGAGGTTTGAACAAACGCTGAAAGGGTATCTATGTATCTTTACAATGTACAGCGTGCACAAGCTGAATGCTATGGTATACTCTTTTCTTCATCTTCCTCTATTCATCTTGCCTCACCCCGTCAATAACTCCAGCCCATATACAATAGCCAAATTGCCAGCCCGATTTATCTTCAACCCTCCAAAGCAATATGATTGGCCCGTCATGAGACACAAGGAAAACACACATATACTCAGCTTGAGCTTTTATACAATTCTGGAAGCTCTGTAAGCTTATGTGAAGTTGTAATCAAAATCCGAGCTACATCGTAGCATCTAAAAGTTGAAATCGTTATCATCATCATCATCACTGTTGCTAACGAACTTCTTGTCGTCCGGCTTAAGTGTTACAACATCCTTGATTTCCTCATTGACCAAATCTCCCATCTCAGAGCTATCTGTCAATATTGTCCTGGCTTCCTCGTCGGAGACATTCATATCTTCCTTGATCAACAAAACTGTAACTTCAGGCACGACAACCGAGTCAACAAATGCAGCTGTGCTTCTTGCTGCGATAAGACGGTCGAGGGGTGCTCTGTACTTTAGCAATGGCGTAAACTCGTGCATAATATTTTCGGAAATTAGACGTAGACCTCGAGAACCATAATAGCCAGGTATAAGATTCGTGGAACTCTTCATCAAATTTCGGTCTTTTCCAGCTTTGACCTTTTCATCGAACACTTCTCGATAGTGACAAGTTGCGCCTCCAATTATCTTCTTGATGAATGCATGATGACTTGAAATTCTAGAATCCAGAGTTTCCCAATCGATATCAGGGTATCCTTTAGACTTCCAACTTGATCGAGCACTTTTTCGTTGATGAGATAAACAAAATTTCTCTTGCTTCCTGGTATTCATCTTTCCGAGAGCCTTCAAATCTTCAGCAGCTACAGGTTCATTACACATTGGACAACGAGATCCAATGTAATCGTCAATATCCGAGCTATCCTCCCTCTCAAGATTTTCCATGCCGATAATGGCATCCGGATTTAGCTTCTTAGCCAGTTTCTCCGCTCCATCCAATATATCATCATCATCGTATCGTTGAAATGGTCTGGGTTGCGTTGATGGGGTTGCGGATTTCGAATTCTTCAATTTGCCGAACAAATCTAAATCTGAAAAATCGTCATCACTGAAATCCGGGCGCACAAAGCCTCTGACTGGACTTTTGTTTTTCGTTGGACTATCGACTGTGTAGTCTTGAAGCTTTTGCTTTCCATTGTCGCTGACCATACTTGAAGATCTACTTTTGTAGTTTATGAAATGGTCCACGGGCGCTGGACTCTTCTTCTTCCCATACATGTAAGGTTTGTTGGGTCTGTTCTTTGGTTTGGTGTCCTTGAACAACGCCAGTTTATTGGCACCAGCTATTTTATTATTAGTTAAAGCAAATCAATGTTTTGTTGAACGTACGTCTTGAAGTTCTGGTCTGATTCGGATGCTCCTTTGTGTATGATTTGAGCTTCTTATTGCTGCTCTGCATGTTTCCGAACATATTCACAACTGGATCATGTTCCGAGTCGTTCTCATTCTTCCTCTTGTTGCCATGAGTTGACTTTAATTCAGATGACCGCTGTCTTGAGTTTTTTGGATTGGGAAAAGAAGATGTGGCAGAGGTTTGACTGGACTTTTGATTTTTTGATCCAAAAACAGTCTTTGTCATATCTGCGCTGATTCTTGAGGGCGATTCGTCTTCAGAAGAGTCGATGAGATACTTTCCATCATCGTCGGAATTATCTGGAGGTCGATCAACATCCTCATTCACAGCTTCAATTGACTTCATGATACAGGACTTCGATGACCCTGGTTCATTCTCCTTATTTGACCCCTTGTTTCTTCGCTTGCATGATGCTGTATTTTGAGCGGCGCCAACGTCGCCAGAGTTTTGTGCATTATTAACATCAGTGGGACGGGTTGTCGTTGCTGCTTTTGTTGGCATTGCGGGTTGTTCTTCCTTTTTTGGTCGATTGAGTGATTGCAAGAGGTTATGAGGATAGCCCTTGGTCAATCCAGCACGTCGTGGCTGTGCTTTGCCTCTATCGTTAAGATCTAATTTTGTATGATCCATCTTGAAGATCGCGTCGCAGTATGATAAGTAAAGTAAGGAAAGATTGGTGAAATGAGATTGGCGCGTGGATTTAGTGGAAACATTCACTATCCAGATACAAAATGAGAAAGTAAGAATTGTAACTTCATTGCTTTCTGAATATATAACAAATTGTACATTTATAAGAAATCTTTGAAGGTTTGTACGGTGACAAGTCTCTACCTTTCTTTACTTGTACAGCTGAATTGATGCGCTCGAGATACGGTATCACGAGAGTAGGAGAGCTTCAATATATACATGGTCCAAGCTTCATATCCCTGTTAATGCGGGATTCACCAATTAGTCCCGCGATTCCGTGTGTTACGGCACGGTATCTACCAGGTATCATATCACGTCCAAATGTTCTGAATAGTACCCAGTCCTTCACCAGAGGCATTCAGTCCAGAATATCGATCATGGCTGCTCTCAACAGAAAATATGCGGCATTGCCAGATTTGGTATGTTTTCAGTGGATATGTAAAAGCTTCAACATTTGACAAATATTCTCTAGGATTCAGCACCAGACATTTATGAAACCCCTGAGTTAACAGAGGATAATTCAACTGCGCCGGTAGGTTATCTCAACATAATCCTTCCCTTCAACCCTCCTAACACCCTTTAGACTGGCAGACCTCGTTCGCAATCAACTTCTTCTTCTTATCAAGATTTCGATGAAGACGACGACGAAGTGGGAGGTATTTCCCGTGCGCGACTACAGCCCGATGAAGCCCGTTCGCATTTCTCTCCAGCACAAGTAGATGCACGCGATGTAGACTTCTCCGATAGAGTCACGGCAAAAAGGAAATCATACAAAGCTTCTTCCAGACGACATAGGAAGAGACAAGACGACACAGAAGAATTTGGCGACTTCAGTGATGACGATGATGGGGAAAGCTTGGAACGAAAACTCGCAAGATTACGACGTGAAATTGAGGAAGTTAAAGAAGAATATGGAAAGAGGAATCAAGAGAAGAAGGATATGGGTGAAGAAGAAGAGTCCAACGATGGAGATGATGTTGCCTCCTTGAGTAAATTATTGGATGGAATATCTGTCAGTCAAGGAGATCAAGTCACAAGTGCTGGAGCAAGATTGGCGAGGGATTTAGGAACTGGAATCAAAGCAAACGGGCCATCACAAATTTCACAAGGAACTGGAGAACCTGCTACATACACTGTTACATATGCACCCACATACCAACAAAGTCATGCTTTGGCGAAAGCAGCAGATTTCGATGGACGATTGGCACTTTTAGAAAAGGTTCTTGGACTTAATTCGACAATGGACTCTACTAGTAGCTCAACGGCCGTTTTACCGACTCTTGATATTCTCGAAAGACAAGTCTCAATCCTTACCGAGTCTACGCCATCGTCCCTTGACAGCATAAGCCGAAGAGTTCGAACATTGACACAAGAAGCCGAAAAACTAGAGGAGTCTCGAAAATCGGCCAGAGCTGCAAAAGATGCTTTAAGATCGGCTGGAGGAGAAACTGCCCCTGAGGATGGAGAAGACTCAGAACAGATTTCAAAGATCAATGCGCTTTATGGAACTTTGCCTACTATCGAGAATCTCGCACCTCTTTTGCCATCCTTGTTAGACAGATTACGATCATTACGAGCTATTCACGGAGATGCTGCTACAGCTAGTGAGAACTTGGATAGAGTGGAGCAAAGACAAGTCGAAATGTCAAATGATATCAAGAAATGGCAAGAAGGATTAGAGAAAGTTGAGGAAGCAATTAAACAAGGAGAAACGGTCATTGGAGGGAATATGAAAGTGGTCGAAGGCTGGGTCAAAGATCTTGAAGATAAGATGTCAAAATTATAGTTAGAAGTGTCAGCCTTGTAATTGCTAGTTCCCGTCAACCTAAGCACAAGCTAGGTTTTTAAGATACCCAATCAAAAGTATGAACCGATTCCCACCTCCATATACCCCGGATCTAGCCTCGTCTTTCTTGGTATAGCTCGTATAGGTAGGTACTCTATATAGAAGATTGAGACATTGAAATCCACTCTCGATGAAACTCATTCTCCTTATATAGCAGGTAAAGATATTCCGAGCTATTATTGTTTTGTACCGTATTTAGAAAATTGTCTTTGTAGAGGGCTGAGTGCGTGGAGCCTTATGTGTAAGATATAATTTGGCGTTATCTGTCATATTAAGCTCATTACCCCCTTTGCACTTTCCCTTCTTGTTACATTTACACACTTTCACTCGTTCAATCTTCATTAAGTGTTACAATTGAAGTACCTCAGAAGGAAAGCAAATAGGGAAGTAGTATGTGAGACCTTTCCAATTCCAAATTGCTCAGTAAGTTCATGGAAATTCCTCATCCCTTTCCTCATCAAAAGCAATTCCCACATGTCTGTACGAAATACGTACTTATGTCTGTACCTTATCAAATGGTATACGACGCGAGTTTCTTATTCCATATTCAAGTCCGCATGCGCATATGCATACAATCGAAATGACTATAGCAATAAATATTGACGATGACGCGGCAGATTCGAATTCGAACTTCGACAAGAGAGAAGTAGGAGAAAGGCAGAAGCGCAATTACTTCAAGAGAGGGGATACGACTATCAATTTTGACGAGCGACAACAACAATCTGAGGAATTTGAATTCGACGAAAGACAAGGACGCTCGAGAAACAGGGTTCGTAGTCGTGTGGTAGAAGGTCTGGGTGAGAGTAGTGAAGGGGTTCTTAGAGGAGGGGATCTTGATTTTGAGGGATACTTCGAAAGTAAAGCAGATATGGCTTCATGGAGTGGGCAACCGGCTATAAAGGGGAGTACGGAGCAGATGCGAATGGCATTGTTGACTTTTTCTTTGGTTGGATTGCAGTAGGTTTAATCTGGAAGAAAATGATAACAATCGATCACATTGACTGATTTGGTGTGCAGATTTACTTGGGGTATTGAAATGACCTGTAGGTTGAACATCGCTCGAGTTCATGGGAAATACTGACTGATTGGCCTGAATAGATTGTACACCATATTTACTTTCACTCGGTCTCACGAAATCGAAAACTTCTTTAGTATGGATTGCGGGACCTTTATCTGGGTTGATTATGGCACCGCTTGTGGGGGCAATGGCAGATCGTTCGCGTTCAAAATGGGGTAGAAGAAGACCATATATGGTGGGGGCTTCTATACTTGTCGCATTATGCTTGTTGGTACTGGGATGGACAAAGGAAATCGTATCTCACTTTGTGGAAGAAGGGGATTTTCATAAGAGTTGTACAATATTTTTGGCAGTGTTGGCAATTTATGCGGTGGATTTCGCTATCAATGCCGGTAAGTTTGAAATTTCAGCCCAAGTATTTGGTAAGGATATTAATAAGTATAGTTCAATGGAGTTGTCGAAGTCTGATCGTGGATACTCTTCCTATACAAAAGCAACAAGCCGGGTCAGCATGGGGTGAGTTTACTTCGCTCATTCTTAACCGAAAATTCATTGACATCTTTCAGCTAGCAGAATGGCCGCTATGGGGCACTTGGTCGGTTACGCTATTGGTACTGTTGATCTTGTCGCCTGGTTTGGTCCCTCAATGGGCGATACACAGTTCAAGAAGCTCATCCTAATTGCGGCGTTTGCGCTCATATTTTGTGTGTGTGTCACTTCGTGGGCCGTAACGGAACGTGTTTTGATATCTAGCAAAGACTCTGACTCTCAATCTGGATTACTCAAAATTACACGACAAATATATAGGACCACAATGACAGTTCCTCCAAAGATTCAAGCCATTTTATGGTGTCAGTTTTGGAGTTGGATTGGATGGTTTCCATTCCTATTCTATGGTACCACATTCGTTGGAGAAACATACTTCAGGTATGATGCTCCACATGAGATCAAAGAATCTAAAGATGCTCTTGGAGATATTGGAAGAATCGGAAGCATGTCCCTCGTTGTGTTCTCATTCGTGTCATCTTTTGGATCATTCCTTCTACCTCTATTGATCAAATCCCCCGATGAGGACAAATTTACTCAGCGACCACCAGCAAGTATTGCTCGTTTTGTTCAAGCATACAACAAATACAAGCCAGATCTTCTTGGAGCTTGGTTTGTTGGACATTTGATGTTTTCATCAGCTATGTTTTTAGCACCATTTGCATCTTCATTTCGATTTGCAACTTCGTTAATTGCATTCTGTGGATTGTAAGTTTTCAAAAAACATTATCTCACTACCTTGCCATTAGTTAACACCTTCTAGGCCATGGTCTGTCGCATCTTGGGCACCGTATGCATTCCTTGGTGTCGAGGTAAACAAGATGAGCGGACTCCCATCTTATAGCCGCCTTTCCACCGCCGATCGTGATATTGAGCTTGAGTCACCCACTAGTCCTCCATCACCCTCTCTACTCCGTCTCGAGCATGGCCCAGTTGGAGAAAAGGAAGACGTTGCGTCTACTGGTGAACTTTCTGGGATTTACTTCGGAATCCTTAACATCTACACTACCATTCCACAATTTATTGGAACTTTCATCAGTATGATTGTTTTCAGTATATTGGAGCCAGGTAAAAGTCCAGAGTTGGCTCAAAATGCAAAGGAAGGGGAACATCATGGGACAGACGGTCCAAATGCTATTAGTATTTGTTTGTTCATTGGTGCAATTAGTACTCTTGGGGCTGCTTATGCGACTAAAAAATTGAGAGATTTGCAGTAAGAGGGCTGGTAGTACTTACGAGCCTGTAATTGTAAGATAATAGCGGATTTCATTTGGATGGGGATTGATATTCAGATTTGTGGGTAGCATTGCATGGCGTTTTGGGTGAAGAGTACTTGTTTGAGATAGCTCGAAGTTTTTTGTACCTTTTCGGGGGGCAAGGTCTTGGGAATAGATTGGGATGGATGGATGCTGGAATGGGCGATATAAAATATGCCTTTTTTTCTTTTGTGGTTTGCAGAAATGCTGTAGATGGATAGCTAGATAGAATCATATGCGTCACTGCTTTTTCTTGTTTTTATATATTGTTGATTAAAGGGGTGAATAAATGTGTATTGTTCAATTGTTCGACTGGGAATTGCGTATCAAGCATGATTTGAAGAGGGATTTCAATGAGACAATGTAAGTGTTGATGATACTGTAGTCTGTCATTAAAGTAAGCTTTAGTATCCATCTAATGTCTTCCTGACTATTCATTCATAGCATTCGTTTTTATGAAGCGACAATATCTAAATGTTGAGAGGTTAGGTGAGATGGCACTTTTCACCTGGAAGTTATGCATACAAGTTGTCCCCGGTGAGGGATATCAGTATTTAATAAATCTTGAAGGTGTGCGCTCGAATAATGGTAAAATAACAATTTATCTTGCTGCTATTGATATCAAAACCTCATATCAGCACTCTGAAGACAAAACAAATATTCATGATGATATAGTGAAGGGGTTATTAAAGCTCTCCAATCCTTTTATGTGTATTTCCGGCTCAATCCCCAAAATGGTGATCCCACCAAAAACAAAACGAGAATCACGGAGCAATTGAAGCTCCCTAGCCGGTTCGAACGACTGACCTGACGATAATAGCGAGACACTACTGCAATCGTCCGCTCTACCACTGAGCTAAGGAAGCGATTCTTATTGTATTTTAAAGGACAGATTTCCGCCTTATATACCAAACACAAATGAGTACATCAAATCTACTTGGCGGGGTGGGGATATGGAGTGGAGCTTTGGGATTCGTGTTGATAATGGAAATCTGAATGGAGTGGAGATGGAATGGGAGTTGAAAAATGAGAGTATAACAAGAGATATCAAACGGAAGCATATACAATCATGTGATTAAGGACCGCTGGCGCAACGGTAGCGCGTTCGACTCCAGATCGAAAGGTTATCCGTTCAAATCGGGTGTGGTTCAATACCTCCTGTAGTCGCTGATATTTTTGCTTTTGCCGTCCTGTGGACAACCAGAAAGAGCCCGGAGTTGGGATCTAAAAGAAAGAAGAGGAGAAGACAGAGAGGGTGTGAATGAACTGTGAAGAGGTGGGAAAGTTTGGGCTTTTGGTGGGGGAGAGGGGAGGGTGCGGGACTGCTGGGTCTGAGTCTCTGAGATGATATGGTCAGATTTGTTTTTGCTAGGGCTACTTCCCATCAACTAATTCGTTGAATGAATTGACTATTCGTGTCCAGATGGACTCAGTCAGATAATTAGAATACAGAATTTTATACAATTGAAGTTGATCTGGTGAATCAAACAGTTGCATTGTCAATTTTTCGAAGGTACCACTGTTGGTGGGTTGGTGGACTCGGTGGGTTGATGGTGGGTGAATGAAGGGGTTAGGCGAGCCGAGATGGGGTTGAGGGTCGTCTAGCTCCACATATCAATTTTTCTTTGCATGTAGTGGGGGAAGGATCAGCCAATGTCTGATCACGTTTCTTATTGTCCCCCACCATACTTTACGAAACTGGCTGAGCACACGGATGGCTATATATATTTGACTGCCCACCTCTTTCAACATTAAATATCCCTCGTGGCGCAATTGGCTAGCGCGTTCGACTGTTATCTGTAACAAGTCACGTGATCGAGAGGTTGGTGGTTCGAGCCCACCCGAGGGAGATTCGACTTTTGCGATTTTCTTTTAGAAATCTCGTTGCGTTGATTTTTTGGTGCTTTTGAAGTTGTTGATTTTTTGGTACTGGCGGAGGTGGGACGCGACCAATGATATTGAATAGCCGAAGCCCGACCCCACCAATCTTCAATCTGGGTTTGTAGTTTGCTACATTCCTTTCTTGATCAGACGATAATTCTTAACTGGTGAATGAATCATTTGCTGTGGCGGCAAAGTCGAGACATTAGCTACATCTAATGGATCTCGCAAGGTTGAAA